GTAATAAAAATTCAGTTAAATTAATTTAAAGCAATTTAAAGTTGTAAATACTATTGCACATACTAAAGCCATTAAAATTAATTTAATTAAACTAACCTAAATCAATTTAAACTGATTGAATTAATTTTTACACTTAAATAATTTAATTAATATTTAAATATTTAAAGTATTTTAAATTAATTTTATCTATAATTACTTTAAATTGGTGAATATTAAGGCAATTAAAATTAATTCAATTAAAGTAATTTAATCAAAATAATTTGAACAGGGTTTTTACAAATTTCTCCTTATAAAATTCCATGATTTTCTCATGATTTTCAGGTAATAAAATTTCCATGACACATTAAAACAAAATTTTTGTCAGTTAAGTCAAGTAAATGTCATGAAAAAAATTTGTTGTCAGGGAAATTAAGGAAATTAAGACTTTTTCGACTTATTTTAAAAAATTCCGACTATTTTGACTTTTCTTCCAAACATTGCAACAAAATACCACAATTTTTAAAAAAAAGTGCAAAGCTTATTTTGATTTTTATAATGCAAAAAATAACTATAAACAAATCTTTCAAAAATTGTTTTTGAATAGTTAAAAATTTGTAAAATTTAATTGAAAATAATTAATTTATTTCAAGTATTTTGTTAAAATTTCTTAAAATCAAATTTTGGAGAATTTTAATTGCAAATTTTGAAAATAATTGAATTATCAAAAATTTTATGAAAAAATCTTTAAAGGTAAATTTAAAAATGAAAATAAGCTTCTAATTTTTTAAAATTCAATATTTTTAATGTTTTTAATTACATATTTCTAAAAATAATAACATTTTAGCATTATTTTTAACATTTTGGAGAAAACAATAATGTTCAAAATTTTTATTTAAAATTCATCAAAAAATTCATTAGTTTTTTTAAATTTTACAAGATTCATTTTAAGATTCATACTTTTTGGACTTATTAAAATTTTTGAGAAATCATGGTCCTGTTTATAATTAAAATTCTTCAAAAATTTAATCATTTTTATTTATACTTTTCTAAAATTCAATTATTTTTTAAAGGTTTTAAGTCATAATTTTTAATAATAAAATGAGTTCATGTATTTAAGTAATTGAATCAATTCTAGAAGAACTTTTGGAAAATTATTTAAATTTATTGATTCAGAGATGAAGTTTAGTTGGAAATTGTAGAAAATAAACCCTGTTAAATTAATTTCATCTAATTAATTTTAATTTCTTCAAATACCACGAATACAATAATTACTAAAACTATTAATCACATTCAGAAATTATAATATTTACTATGTGCTTTGAATATTTATCAGCAAAATTATTATGAATGCGCTTACATTGCTATACGGTTCGTAAAATTTGAGTAGAGGAATATAAAAGCTCATTGACCCCCATCGTTGCTTAAGTGCTCCTTCTTGAGTAGAATTGGTAAAAAAACACTCTTTTTTAAACTTTTCTAGTAAATAAAAGTATTGGTTATCTCATAATTTTTTATGAACATTGTTATATCAAGAGAATTTAAATTTTTTGCTTTTGGTATTTTAAGTTAATTTTTGCACCTGTTGTGGGAAAAAGGAACATTTTTAAGCAAGAAAAAAATGGATTTTTCTGAAATTCTGAACCAGAAAGTCCTCTTAAGATTCACTACTCGCAAATCCCATACCTAGTCTTAAACGGTTGCTGTAATCTCACTCATTGTAGTTTAATTTTAAATATACAAAAACATAATATACATTTTAGGGATTAAGTGATTTTTTTTAACTTGCTAAGAAATGTTTGAGGTTGCTTTTTCTTTCCTGCATAATTTTTAGCTATATAGTACAATTTTCTTTTTTTGTTTGTAATAACTGGATTAGGTATTCCTTCTTTATTTTTATAATATTCCTTTATTCGCCACTCGTTGTTCCCTTTTGGATTTCTTGCTTCGGCCAGTTTCCTACTACTTTTCTGATATTCCTCTTGATTGGTAGAACTTTTCGTTTCTCTATATTCATTCAGTGATTGAAAATTCTTAACTTTTAGTTTAGTAATTTTTTTCTTTTTCTTACTGGTAGCATCTTTGCATTTTTTCTTTCCATTATTTTTGATTATCGTAGAATTTTCTTTCGTAATTTCTCTTATGCCAGCTTCCAATCTGAATAGTACTGGAAAATGATCCGAACCCTCTTGAGTAAGTACTCTTAAATCTTTAAACCAGCTTTCAAGTTCCTCTTGTTCGTTTAATTTTATTATGACCAAATCCAATACGGAACCTTTTGCTTTACTACCAGAGAGATGAGTCACTTCTCCTTTACTATCCTCCTTTGTTCGACCATTCATTATTACCATTTTTCTCTCTTTTAACCATTTTATCAGTGCTTTTCCCTCACTTCGTGGATCATTTTGATCTTCTGATTGTCTTACTCCCACTTTTTGATTAGAGTCTAGTTCTTGTAATTTTCCAATTTTTGCATTAAAATCGCCACATATTATAATTCGATGTTTTGTTTCTTCTATCTTCTTGATTTCTTTATCCAGTTCAGTTAGACAATTGTTCAAATTGCTACTCGAGTTATTGTAGACATTTATTATTGAGTAATAAATTGGTGAATGAATCTTTGATATATTTAGTGTCAAACCGTACTCCCACTTTTCTAATTTACGAGTTACATTGTTGTCGATGATGTCTTTCTTTACTGCCAGTAAAAAACCACCTGATGCTCTTCCGTTTTTAGTTATTTTAGTTTTCGCTTCTTTTCCATTCCATAAGAATTTACAATATTTTTTATTCAACTTGTCGATTGTTTCAGAAAATTTCTTTTCCTCCAACCATGTCTCCTGCAACATTAGGACATGTCCACTCTTCAGTAACTCCCAATTTTTCTCTAGATTTCTCATTCCTCTGAGGTTTAAATGAATCACCACTAAATCATCCATTGTTTTTCACTAGTTCAACAACAGGAAAAAAATTCACTTCTTCTCACTTTCTGTGACTAAATTTATCTTTGGGCGTCAACTCTCTTGTCCGCCGGTTTTGCATATACTAAAGTAAGTATATTCCAATACCAACTAAGATTCTTTCTTATTTTATTATTTTACTTTCTTGTTATATCTGTATATGCTCGGTGAGCACAGATTCTCAACCATTTCTGATTTTCAATTGTACAATTCGATGGAATGCTTAAAAATTGCCACCTCTATTATATCTAATATACTGATAATACTCATAATTATCGCCGGCTTAGCACTACAACTAAAGTTCTGATTTAATCTAACGTTTCCTCATGTTTTTTATGTGAAATAAACACAATTTTGTTATATTTAAAATGTTATTCCAAATTTTACTGATTTTCTTAATAAAAAATTAGAAAAATTTGACATCGTGAAACAATAATTCATTATTTATGTATACAAATACTAAGATCATTCTGACATGATAATAAAGACATTTATTGGTTCCAGAGGTCATAAAAGCATTTAATTAACATATAGAAAATGTGTAACACATTTTATATATTAGAAAAAAATTATTTTAATTTTCTAACCGGTTTATCACATAAGGCTCACAAAGATATTACCCATTAAAAAATAAAAATCTAATAAATTTAAATTCAATAAATAAACAAATTCAGCAGCTTTTTTTCAAATTTATTTTTTCCTAAAAAAAACAAATCAATTAAATCATTATATTAGAAACTGTTTATTATTCTCAAAATCAGTTACTGAAATGATACTTTGAAAATTTACAAAAAAAAATGTCTAAAAAATTTATTACCATCTTAAATTTTTATTGATTCTTGTGAATCACTTTAATTTTCCAAATTAATATTTGGGATATTTTTTAGATACTTATAATTATTATACACATAATTATTCTATTCACATGTAATTTTCAGTTTGGTAAAAAAAATATTGATTTAGAAGAATAAAAAATTTCAGAGTAATAAATGAAGTAATGTAAAAATTTTAGCAAGTGAAATATTTTTGAACAGATGAAGAAATTACTAATTGTAGAAATTTAAATAAATGATCTTTGTCGATAAAGAATAATTCTTTTAATATAAAAAACATCTATTAGATAATTCTCAAGCATTTAACTGATAACTTCTAAGTCATGGTTAATAAATCTTTTCGAAATATAATTTTTCTTCAGATGATGAGAAAGTATAATAAAATTTTTAAATAAAAATTGTCTAAATTTGAATTAGTAGTTTTCTACTATGCAATTAAAAAGCATAGATTTATTCATCAATTAACTAGTAGAAATTTTATTAATTTTTAGTAGAAAACAACGAATTTATTAGTAGAAAATTACTAATTTTTAGTAGAAAATTATTAATTTAACAATAAAAAATTTCTAATTTAATTAATTTAATTAAATTTAATTAATTAAATTTAATTGCTCCTAAATTAGTATATTTTACTTATAAATAGTAATTTCTACTAGATTATTAGTAAATTTTACTAATAAATAATAATTTCTACTCATTTATTAGTAAAATTTACTAATTCAAAAGCAAAAAGTCAGTTACTAATTCAACTTAATTAATATTTTAACTATTTCAAATTTTTAGAATAAAAAAATTCTAGTCATCGAGCCTTTTATTTATCGTATGTTTCAAGTATCAAAATTTCTCCAGGAATCCCGAAACCAATTTCAATTTATCGAAAGATAACTGTATTCATAAAAATAAAAAATCATACTTCAAATTTCAAAGAAGATTTAAAAATAATTCTGAACTATTTACAAATTTCGAATAACTCTCTTTCTCTTCTAATTCGATTCTTATAAGCGAAAAGAACAAACAAACAAAAAATCTAAAACTGAAAAATGGTAGTAAATTTGAAATATACGTTTTCTAAAATGTAATCTTGTTACTTGCCATTAAAAAAAAATGTGGGGAAACGGGGAACGGGGGGGAGGTAAAGCCCTGTGTAATAAATGTTTTCCAAGCTTAATAAGTGGCACTTTGCCCCGGTTATAGCGATAAAGATTGCCTATAAAAGGAAGTGACTAAGTTTTTGCAGCATCAGTTCGTTTGTAATACTAGTGAAGAGATTTATCAGTTTTATAATTCAACTCTAGTAAAAGAAGAAGGAAAAAAGCTCCCAACAATCATGAAGAGCATTTTAGTATTTTTTGTTGTCTTAGCAGTTGCTTATGCAGGAACAATTCAAAGGACACAAAGAGACGCACCTCAACCTGCTCAAGAGACATCTGCCTTTGAAAATCTAGTAGCTTCATTCCAAAATATTGGGGAAAATGTTAAAACATCAATTGACAAAGCTGCTGCTGAGGTAGGATTTTAGTTTTTCATTTGTAAATTTGCAAATTTTTTTTATTTTCATTTAATTTGACTTGACTTTTTTCTCGGTGATTTTTCCAAGTATTTTTTTTCTTTCTCATAAAAAGACCTAAAAAAATTTTTATTTTTAACGTTCGTAAAACTCACGTTCACTAATCAATCATTTGGAAGAATTATAATTAAAATTAAAATTTTAATAGTTTCTATTAAAATTGGTGAATAAAAATAATTTCAAAGAATTGAAATTAAAATTTCAATAAATTTTTTCTACTAAGATTTGTGTATGAAAACAATTATTTATATATAGTTTCCTAATCGACAGTATAGAAAAAAAATTTGTAAATTAAATATTTTATTATTTCAAGAAATATAATTTTTCTTGAAACATGTTTTTTCTTTTAGATCATAAATGTTGTGAACCGTTATATTTTTAAATTTATTTTTGTTTGTAATAGAAAAATGTAAGATTTTATTGTAATCGCTCTTTATAGTAATTAATTTTAATTTAAAAAAAAGGTGTTTGACAAAATTAAAATTATAAACATCCGTAACTTGTGAATAATAAAAAAAAAAATAAAAATTCAAAACTAAAATCATTTCATTGCATTAAGTATTAAATGTTTAAAATATAAAATATTAAACATTAAAATTTAATATTTCAAAACATTAAATATATTAAACATTAACTAATTAGATATTCAGAAATATTTTATGATTTAATTTAATTGTATTGAACTTTAATTTTTTTTCATTAATAAATGAAATAAAAATAAAAAACTTATGAATTTCAAATTAAAAAAAAATTCATTATTGAAAAAAAAATTGTTGTAGAAGGAGTTCCAAAAAAATGTTTCCCCCCGAGACATTATTTTCCTTCTCGTTTTCTTTAAACAATTTGTTTTCTGTTAAACATTTTTTTCCTTCTATTTGTCTACAAAGCACAAATCGACTTCAATCTTCTTCGCGAATTTTTTTCTATTATTCTTTTTTCCTTTAATTCCATTTGCTATTAATATTATTAAAAATTGAACTCGAGTTCAATGTCTTTATCAAGAAAGAAAAAATAATAATTCAAGATGATGAAAAAATTTCGAATGTCTCGGACATCACGCAATGTATAAGTGCCCTTTGAGGAAAAAAATGTTTTCTAATCACAATTATTCATTATTATGAAACTGGGTGAAATTTATATGTATAAGTCAATCATATCTTTGCAAGTTTGCACAGAAATTGATATGTGTAAATTAACCTCTGAACTATGTCATCCGGGTTTAAAAATCTTTTCTCTCATCATATTCCTATTTTTAAATTTTATAGCCATCTGCGATTGTAGATAAAATTTAGAAGTAACATTTTTTTTCGTCAACTATATTCATTTTATAAATAATTCATTTTTTGGAATTATTTATCACTAATTAATTATAAATAATTGTTTAGTTAATTAACTATGACTCATTTTTTAGCTAATTAAATATAAATTATTCAAAGTTAATTAACTGTAATTAATTGTTTAGTTAATTAACTATAACTAACTTTTTAGCTAATTAACTATAACTAATTCTTTAGCTAATTGAAAATAACTAATTTTTTTAGCTAATTAACTGTAACTAATTGTTTAGATAAGTAAATATAAATAATTGTAAGCTAAATAATTATAAATAATTGTTTAATTAATTAACCATAACTAATTATTTATCTCATTATAAATATAAATAATAAATAATTGTAAGTTAATTATCTATATAGCTAATTTTTTTAACTAGTTAACTACTCTTTAAATTTGAATTAGTTAACATGTTTATTAATTTCAATTAGCGACACTTTTAGCTTTTAAATTAGTAAATTTTATTAATTAATAGTAATTTCTACTAATTTTTTATTAAAATTTACTAATTCGAATGCAAAAAGTCAGTTACTAATTCAACTTAATAAACATTTCAAATTTTTAGAGTAAAAAAAATTCAAATTATTGAGTCTTTTATTTATCAAATGTTTCTTCAAAACTAATTTTTTAGTTAATTAACTATAACAATTTATTTGCTTATTAATAACTATTAAATAAATAATTATAGTTTCTTAACAAAAAATTAGTAGCTAATAAATTATAATTAATTATTTGTATAAAAAATTCAAATACAATTAAATAAAAGAAAATTTCAATTAACACAAGAAAAAATATTTGACAATTTAAGATGAACGCGTTAATGATTAATTTTAAAATGTAATTGACCTTAGAATTTAAATTGAGTCTGACGTCTGTTAATTTTTTTTTGCTTCTCGAAACCATTCCTAGCGTGAATAATGAACAGTTGAGACAATATTCATATATAACTCGGTTTTTTTTTCTTCAAAAACATTTAATGTTACGTAATGTGTAAAAAAATCATCGCACATTTTATGTAACATTTCATGAAAAATATTTTGTTTATAAACTGAAATAATTTCACTTGAACTGCACGATTTACCATTGTTCACAATAAATTTCTATAAAAATAATTATGAAAAGAATAATTAAATTTGACAAAATAAAATTAAAAGACAAAATTTTAATTAAAATTTCATTATTTTTATGAACTAAAATTGCTACTTTTAATATTTAGTAATAAAATATTATTATAGATTTAAAATTACATCAAGGTTGCGAAGAAGTGATTAGTGCAGAAAAAATGCTTATGTAAACTTTAGTCATTTTTGCACAAAATGTATTTTACCGTTTAATCACTTTAATTTTGTTTTCTTTTTGCGCAATTCGTAATTATGATTTTTTTTGTTCAACTATTATTTGTTTTCATTTATTTCTTTTTTTTGCAATGATTCCTTAAGATGAAATTGAAAATTTCTAAACGAATTGATGAGCGTTAAACGTTTAGGACAATCTTCTTCTCTGATATAAGAACATCTAGAATTAAAACTAATCTTCTCAACAGTTTAATGAAACATAATTATTTCCTTCCTTTTGCGAAGAATTGTTATTATATATATAGTTCAAGTCTGTTAAACGTTTTATCATCACTGAATTAAAAATATTATTTATGTTTAGATCAAACTTATTTTTTGTTCGAAGTTTGAACTCGTGATTTTTTTTCTCAATGAGTGGGGACAATGGAAATATAATTATTATTCTACATCAATTATATTTTCATTCCTAATTATTATATTTATAGAAATAATAATTATTATTTCGTAATAATTATTAAAAACTATATTAATTTAAAAATAATCATTACTATTAAAAATAGAAAAAATTGACTAACCTTATTTTCCAAAACTTGTTTTTGCAAAGAAATAAAAGAAAACCCTCTTCTTTTGCAGTTCACAGAAAAGAATCCAGAAGTACAGAAGCTGTTAGACAGCGCAAAAAGTTCCATCCAAAAGGGCATTGAAGATTTCAATAAACAATTCCCCGATGCACAAGAAAAAATCAATGAACTCCAAGCTAAAGGCCAAGAAGTTCTCTCAGTTGTAAGAAAGGAAGCTGAAAAAACATACCAAAATGTTAGCGATCAATTGAAAACAGTCATTGAAACTAAAAATTAATATGCAAATTAAATAAATAAATAAACGAAAATGACATTTTTGTAAAAGAGAACAGACACAGTCGATAAAATGTACTTGTCAAAAATTTAAATGTACTTTGATTTAAAGAAAAAAAAACTTCACAATTTCTTGATTTTCTATTTATAAAGTGCATTTTAGACTGTAAAAAATTTTTTCCAAAAGGATTATTTTATTTTATAAAAAAAAGAAAGAAATAAAGTAAACGAATTGTTACCACAAAAATGTGTTTTTATTCAATTCTTCAATATTTTATGATTTAATGCAAACTTTTATTAAATTTTATTCCATTATCATTCTTTTAATATATTTTATTATAGGTATATGTATTTATTACTTCTCCCTTGCCTACTTATTTATTTTCCCAAACATGTAATTATTTTTTTCTCATTTACTTAATTTTTTTAAGCATTCCAAAAATTGTTCTTTTTTCAGTATTAGACGTTCCTAAAATTTTGAACTTTCAAATGAACGAAATTTATTTATTTCTTCTTCAAATTAAATTTTTATTGCAATAATTTTGCGTCCCTATCAAAAAAATTAATGGTGAAGTTTCTAAATGTAAAATTAAAGTTTTTTTATTTTCGTTGCAATCAGTAATATTAATGAAAATATTTTTGATAAAAAATATTTCGTTCATTTGAACATTCAAACCTTGTGGACCATAGTATTAGTAACTACTAAAAATTAAATTTTCCTGATTGTTTATAAATAAAACAATCTAAAAATAATTTCAATTCAAATTTTTTTCCAATTTAATAATTTTTTTCTCGATAATCAGAATAATAAATTTGTTTAAACATGAAAATAATTTAGTATTAATTAATAAATAAAATACTGATTAATTATAATATTTATAAAACTATAATTTAATAAATTGATGCACGTACATTAAAAAGTGAAAAAAAGAAAATTTAAAAATTGATTAAAAGATAAAATTGCATATTGTATGTGACTGTGGTATCATAATTTTTCGATAATTAAAACTTCTTTAATTATTATTCATCTGATAAAATCGTGATTCAGATCGTATTACTTTTCCGGGATAAGTTCAAGTTTCAATATAATATATGCATTTTGTCATAAACTTTAAGATTAGTGAAAAAATTTACGAAAAAAAACAACATCAGTAGTGACACGTTTACATTCAATAACATTATGGAAACTCTCTTTAGTAAAAAAAGAATTTACATATTCTCATAGAAATGTGTTTAATGTATAAAAGTTGGACAATTAAGAGTGCGAATGTTTCATTATAAAATTTTCTATTTATCATTTTTTTTCATTTATGTAAATTTTATTTTTTCCACTAACACGATGAATATTCAACCTCGTAATTTAGAAATTTTTATGTATCATCCGTATCAAGTGCAGGTTTGATATTTTTATTATTACTCTTATTATTATTAATGCTGTTATTATTTTTATTTTTCTTATTTTATTAAAATTTAAATATATATAAAAAAAATAAGTACATAATTTTTTACTTTTTTTTGTATTTTCTCTCTTAAGATTTAATTTTTTCAATTTCAATTTTATTTAACGATGGGACAATTTATTGACAAAATCTATTGACAATAATAATTGCTTATCAAATTTAAACCTGAATAATCACATTTAAATTTAATAAACAAATTATTATTAAATATAACGAAAAAAATTATAAATTTTATTTAATATTGTGAAATTGAATTAACTTTCAAAATAAATTTTACAAACGTTGTTAAAAAGTTTATGAAAAAAAATACGACATAATAAATTCTCCCGGGAGGAAACGATAATAACTTTTATGTCGAAGGGAAACTTTAATACTTGTATATATAGAAAAAAAAATGCCTTGAGTTTTAGAAACGTTCGCAATTTTATTCTCATTTTTTAGTTGACTTATCCAGATTTAGACGACCGGCTTTTGATGAGAGCAAATCGACAAAATTTACAAGACGACATTCGCTTCCTGTGCAACCACATTATGAAATTGTTCGACTATCATACAAAATTATGGTTGAAACGTGTATTAAAATGTTCTTAAATTTGGCAAAAATAATAATTTATAATTTCGTCGATAAGTAAATAAATCTGAGTATTTATAAAATAGTGTACAATATAATTTATTATGTATTGAATTTTGTTACTGGGAAATAAAATATTATATTATTTTGCAATTAAGTTACTTTTAGTCTTGTTAATTGATTTATCATTTCAGATTTCAAAGGACAAGTTTTTATAAACTTCAATTGTATAAGTTACATTGTTATGAAATTAACTAATTTTGGGTAATGAAAATTTTCTTGATATCATAAGTAATAAAATTCTTATATTCTCGTTGAAAAAAAAATTAAAGCGTTAAGAAATTAATTCAATTGACAAGTTTTCTTAATCCTTTTTATAATTTTTTATTGCAATTATTTAAGTAAATAAATAAAAATAAATCGAATTAATTAAATAAATAATAAGTAAAAATACTTTTTAAAATGTATTTCTGAGATTTTTAATTAATTTGTGAGCACCAATCAAAAGACATATTTCTACATCAGCAAAAATTTGCAAGGTAGTTAATTTTTACTTTTTGTGTCATTGTCAGTTGAGATGTGTAAAGTGACTGATTAATTAAGAAATTTATTTTCTTTTTCTTAATGTTAATTCTGTTCTTTAATCTTTTTGTTTCACGAGATTATATTAAAAAAATTAAGAACATTATGAGGACGATATTTATATTTTTCATCTTAATCATTTGTTCGGTAAGTATTTAATTATAATGCCTTCTCGTTGGTGTTAAAAATATAATTGTTTAACTAATTTAATAATTTATAGTTTAATTATTTACTTATTTATCATATTTTTCGTGACAATTAATGAATTTATACTGTTTTCAAAAAGGTAACAATTTTTGCATTTGATCTGAAAACAAGAGTGCCTAAGGAAGAGAATTTTTTCGAGAAATTAACATCAAGAAATGTGAATAACGATAAATTTTCAACGGAAAAAGTGCAAAGAGATGAAACCGGAATTGAAAAAATGATACAATTAATGAATATTCTGGGACAAGTTGATAGTTTTTTTACAAGAAAGACTAAAAATTTGATTCGAAGACTGAATGCCGTTTATGAACAAGACGATCCTGATCCAAAATAAAATAAACTTTTCTTATTAAAAAAAAAAATAAAAATACAATTTCCTCACCAGTCATCAATTTACATTTTTCATTATATTATTTATAAATTTTATAAATTATTAATTAGAAATTAAATTAATTTTCAGTGTTAACTAATTATAATTATTCCTATTATGTGAAATTACTATTATAAAAATACTATTATTACAAAAACGACAAATAGCAATTTTGAAAAATAATTTCAAAATAGATTCGCTAATTAATCTTCACAGTTACCATTTTTATCCGTTAATTTAATATTTTAATATTAATATTTTCAAATTTAATATTTTAATTAATTCAATTTATAAAAATTAGAGAAAACCAATGCCGTGCTTATGTAGTAAATAAAAAATAATAATTCCCAAAAAATGTTAATATTCATTAAAAAGTTTTTTTAAATTATACAAAAAAAAAACATTGCGGAAATGAGAGCAAGATTTAAGATCAAGTGTAGAAGTGGGAGAAGACAATAAAGAAGTGAAAATAAAATTTAACAAAGATCAGTTCGCATGTGTATGAAATTCCATGCATAAGTAAACTCGTTACGGAATTAGGTAGTTATCGAAAATAACTTACCTTTTTCACTAATTTTCTCCATTTTTTTCAACTTCAATTTTACTTTAATATTGAAGAATGATTCGCAACTTTATAATTTTACTATTCCTTCCATTCTGGATAATGGCCGTTGATTATTGTTCAATTTCCAGTGATCATACAATGTGCAAGTATAAGGTGAGTGATATCTGTAAAAAAAATTACAAATTTAGAATATTACGTATAATTATTTCAAAATGAGCCAAATAAAAGTAAATAAAAAAAAAAGTTAACAAATCCTGATTATTTTTAAGAAAATGAGAAAATTCTTCTGAGAAATTCAGTTATTTTAATTATTTTAATAATATTTCTTAATGAAATTCAATTTTTTTTTAATAATTTTAATAAAATATTCTTTAGAAGAATTCAATTTATTTTAGTTCAATTTTGTATTTTAAATTCTTTCAAAGAATTTAATTAATTTGAAAAGTTTTAAATAAAATTCATCGAAACAATTCAATTATTTTCAAAAATTATATTAAAATTCTTCGATAGAATTCAATTATTTTCCGAAATTTTAATAAAAAATTCTGAGAAGAATTGAATTATTTTCATAAATAATAATTAGTCGAAGAAATTTAATTATTTTCAATAAGAATTTTAATCAAATATCTTCACACAATTCAATTATTTTTCATTTTAATAACATTTCTTAAAAGAATTCAATTATTTTCAAAAATTTGGATAAAATTCTTTAAAAGAATTTAATTAATATCAGTACAATTTTAAGTAAATTCTCACGAAGGAATTTAAATTTTCTTCGAAAGAATTAAATTTTTTTTCTTACAAATTTTATTATTTTCGCATAAATAATAAATTGACTAGCAGAAATTCAATTATTTTCCATACAATATTAATAAAATTTCTTTAAACAATTCAATTACTTTGAAAAATTTTGATAAAATTTGTTTATTAAAATTCAAGAATTTTAATGAAATTCTTCGAAACAATTCGAATATTTTAATAAAAAATTCGTCGCTAAAAGAATTTTCTCATAAGTTTATTTACTTATTTTCATAAATTATAAAACTCTTCGGAGGATTTTCATTATTTTCAAAAATTTTGATAAAATTCCTTAGAAAAATTCAATTAATTTCAGCACAATGAATTAAATTTCTCAAAACAATTTATTTATTTTCAAAAGATTTAAATAAAACTTTTCGAAAAAATTAAAATCTTTTCAAAAATTGTAATAAAATTCTGTGCAAGCATTAAATTATTTCAAATTGGAAATTATAAAAGTTCAAAAAATTAGGATAACAAAAATATAAAAAATAAGAAATGTCATCTTTTAAAATTAAAAAAAAATGTACTTATTAACGCAAAATTATGAAAAATAATATAATTTCTAAATTTGTCTTGCGAAAATATTTCTATAAAACTTAATAGCCGAGTAAGTAAATAATAAATCTGAATTAATAAAAATTTTTACGTATTAGAACAGAAATTATTTAGAATGTTAAATTTACAAATTGAATTATAATTTTTAATTAAAAACAATTTTGTTTAACTAATTTTTGTTATTTTTAAATTTTCAAAGTACTTATTAAATTAGAATTTCCTTAATTTTAAAATTCGAAACCTCATTTAAAAAGAAAAGTTGTCGAAAAAGTTAAGATATACAAAAATGAAAAAAATAACTAACTTCAAACTACGAACAGACTACCGGAATACAACGATTATTAATTATTAATAATATAAAAAATAAACATTGTAAAATAATTATTTTAAAAACAATTTTTAGGGACCCGGACCAGCTTGTGGAAAAGAGAGAATAAGCGGAATTTCGGAGAGGGAAATTCGAGAAATTTTAAAAGTTCACAATGATTTTCGTTCGATTGTTGCTTTAGGAAAAGAGAGACGAGGAAATCCTGGACCACAACCAGCAGCAGCTAATATGAATGCATTAATTTGGGATAATAATTTAGCTGAGGTAGCACAAAGATGGGCTGATCAATGTACCTTTCAACATGATTTTTCCCGTCAAGATCGTGAGTATGAAAATAATTTTCTTCAATTTTTAATTGGATTTCTGTATAATTGATTTCTGTTTTTTATTCTAATAGCTCGTTTCCAAGTTGGTCAAAATATTTACTTTGCCACTGGATATCCGAAATCAAATTGGACCCAAGCAATATCCACTTGGTATGAAGAAGTAACTGAATTTAATTCTAAAAATGTAAAAAAATTTCAATTTCAATTTACAACTGGACATTATACTCAACTCGTTTGGGGAAATACTCGTTACATCGGTTGTGGAAAAACAACATACAATACACCTTTAAGGGCTTTTGATTATGAACAAAAGGAATATATTTTATCGTCTATTCCAAGAAATGAATCAATTAGGAATGATGATTATTTGATTGGTGATAATTTATCATCAAATGTGCAGGTAAGAATTCTTCACATATTCTCGGTAAATTTCAATATTTAATATTCAAAAATGCTTTTAAAGTTTTAAATGTTCAAATGAGACAATTTTTTCCTAAAATTACTCTACTGCAATGGAAAAAAACGTAAATTCTGATTCACTCTAAAAAATATTAATTACTCAAAAAAATGTTTTATTACATTAATTTACGAATTTCTTTAATTGTATAATTATTCGAAAATATCAATAGTTTTATTTAATTTAAAATAAATATTTGATCATTATTATTTTCTAGAATTTTTTAACTAAAATTCTTCTTTAAATTAACTATTTTTAATAAGTTTTTAAAAAGTTCTTTGAGAATTTTCAAATCCATTTTTTTACAATTCAATTTTCCGAAATTTCGATTATTCGGAAATCTTTAATTAAATATATATTGGAAAATAAAAATTTCAAATAATTTAAAAAAAACTCAATTAAACTTTTTCAAAAAAATTAATTCTACAGAATTGTTAGTTCAAAAACTGAAATTAATTGTTAAATAAATTTTTCTTAGAAAATTCTACGAGAATTCAATTAGTTAAATACAAAAATTAAATATTTTATTGAATAAATGAATGTTTCTTAAAATGAAATTCTCATAAAGAATTTTATCAACTTAGTTTTAAATAATTAAAATTCTTTTGACGAATTTTATTATTTATAAAAATAATTGAATCTCTGTAAAAAATTTTATTATTTATAAAAATAATGGAATTATTGCGAAGAAATTTATAAAAAATAAATAATTGAATCCCTGTGTAATTTTTATTATTTATGAAAACAATTAAATGTTAGCGTAGAATTTTATCAAAAAGTTTTTTAAATAATTAAATTCTTTTGCCGAACTTTAATAAAAAATTTTTTTAAATAATTGAATTTTTTAGGAAAATTTTATTAAAACAGTAGATATTGAAAATCACTGAATTGAGGAAAATTTTTGGAAAATTAAAAATTTTGACAACAATTTTATTAAAATTTTTGAAAATAATTGAATTTCGGAGAAAAATTTTATTGTTTATAAAAAGATAATTGAAATTTTGCCGAGTATTTTTTAAAAATTTTTAAGCATAATTGAATATCTGCGAAGAATATTATTATTACTCTTGAAAATAATTTAATTTCTCCAATCATTTGTAACTTCTGTAAATTCAATTTTTTTAGTGTTTTTAACTAAAATTCTCCTATAACTTTGTTAATTTTAATAATTAATTAAATATTAAAAAATCTAACTAATTTCAGAAGAACTTGAATTATTAAATTTATTGAAATTTCTAATTAAATTCATTCAAAATGGAAATTTTATAAATTTTTAAATTGAAACCTTTTGAAGTTCATATATTTATGAATATTGTAAACGCAACTTTTTTAAAATTCAATTAATTTTGAAATATTTAAGTAAAAAAATCTACTTTCCCTACCTTCCTTGACCTGTGGTAACCATGGAAAATTTTATATCGAATAATATTTTCAGCATTTAAGTAAAATTATTAATAACAATAATAATAATGAGAAACATAATTTTGAAAAGAATGTATTACATACCCGTGTGAAAAAATGGATTGGAGACGAATGGATAAATATTTACGAAAATATGGGAAAAAATCACATCCTCGTTTGCAACTATGGACCAAGTGGAAATTTCTTATATCAACCAGTTTACATCAGTGGTAAACATTGTTCACAATGTCCTTTCGGATTTCAATGTATAAATGGCCTTTGTATCTGAAAATTGAATAAAAATTAATCTTTAAATTATACAAACGATGTAAACAAAGCATTTTTCGTATTGCATGGGGAACATAACCTAAAAAGTGTTTAATTATTAAACTACAGACTTTTTCTATTCAACATTAAAAATAGTTAAATTTTAAGAAATGAACCTTTTTTGTACTACAAAATTGATGGTTTTTCGATATTGAGATTTAATTATATAAAGAAATAATTACTTTTATATGGATAGAACAATTTCTTGTTGCAAACCTTGCAAACATTGCAAACTTTCTGCAAGCTTATAGCGTTATGACAAAATGGCCGCCAAATTTGGCGCGTATATCAATTTGCTCATAAAAACTTTCACAATTATTATTAACAAAAAAATAGATGGAAAATTTATTATTTACTGTTAAATCAGAACTGTTGACGGAAAATAGCGCGGAAAAAGAACATTCGTTTCGAATTTAAAATACGTTTCACTATAGAGAGAATTTAGAGAATACAATATGCGCCATCTGTGATTGAAATTCTCAACTGTTGTGAATAAAACTCACCAACGCCATCTAATCGATAAAATAGAAAATGAGAAAACCCAATAAAGTTTTGTCAAAAATTAAATTAAATAAAAACTAGATAAATAATAAAATAAACTGCAGTATTTGATTGTCATTAAAATTTTTCTCGTCAATAGGAAAACGATAATTTACACGTGCTTTTTACATTGTTATTAATATTGTTTTATCAACAAAGCAGTTACCTTTAAAGTGTTGTAAAAAGGATGCAATTTGGTATGTATATAATCTTTGACGAAAATTAATTTACATTTAATTGTGTTATCCTAACATCCGCCGTACGCGATATAATATTCTTTTTTTCATTATTATCTCCCTTATCTCAATTCTCAGTCCAAGTTTGTCGACTTCCTCAAATTTACAAAAAAAAAAAAGAAAAAAAATTAGAAAATTCCAGCAGCATAGGTTTATACATTGAACTTTCACCAGATGGCGAACTTGAACAGTCACCGGGATCGGTCCGAACGGTCGACTTGCTGAGATTTTATAGTTCGCCACATGTTGATTAATTAAATATATCTATATTATTGTGACGAGTGTCAAAAATTGGGGGTGATAACGCTCGTTCCAAGGATTCCGTCGAAAACGGAATTCTCATTGGGGCGAATTCGCGTTGGCTCAATCGAAAAATAGTTACGTCACGCATAGGCACGAAGCACAGCAGCAGCATTCGTGGTTTGAGTTGATTTCCACGGTGCGTCCCCTCGAACTCTGTGTTTTTTCATTTATATATAAAAGTGACATTAAGTAAAGGAACGCACGCGTTTTATTTCGTTGATCGTCAATTTGATGTTTATTGAATTCGTGTGATTTTGGGTATAACCTAAAAAAACAAGAAAAGTGGATGTCTTGAAGCCAGACGAGGTGACTGCGCTGCCTCTTGTCAACCACTTTGACGAGAAGGGGTATTACGGTGCGTCCATTTCACATAACCACCCGCGCCGATTTCCGATTTCCCCGCCTTTTCTGTGAGCCACACAATTTTCCCCCCTGAAGCTTCCCCTCCATAAAAAAATAGGAGAAGTATCGTTAACTTGTCATTTTTGACAATAATTTTTTGGCATTAAGGTATAACCGGGAAATTTGCCAAAATTCCGGTCCCCACTAGGAAACGAGAAGGCCCCCAACAAACCGGCGGCAGGAATCCATCTAACGAAGAGGATACATCGTCCGCTGGAAGGATGAATAGCAAAAGAAAGAATCGTTCAAACACTACCACTAGGTATGAAATTTTTAAAACAAATGAATTTGACAATAAGAATTTTATTTATTTTTTTCCCTAATTATTTATTCTTTTAAAATGATATAGTTACTTTTCTCGTGACATTAGATCCCCGCGGGCCAGGGAAAGGAGTGTTGCAGCCGAGGGTGTTTATAACAATGCACATTTTATGCATGCAATCACAAGTCTTGTTGGAAACGTTGTGCAGGTAGAAAAAAATGAATACTATCAAAATAAGTTGATCTCAACATTTAGGAGCAGACAATTGTTTTTAAATTACAATTTAAGTGATTAATAATTGCCATAATTTTATTTTCGCTGAACAGTAATTACTTTTTCTAATGCACTAAATTTGAAAGCAAGAAAATAAAATTCATTGTTTATCAATATTTCTCAGTGTGTTTCTCTCAGTTAATGACCTTTAGAAAATTTTCTCCTTCTTCAAGAAGAATGAAATATTCGTTATATTTGAGAATTTTGAAAACAAATTTTCAAGATAATTTGACCTTGAGTTTATTCCTAAAGGGAGAGAAATTTTATATTTAAAAAGAAATTTTTTTTTAATCAAGAATAAAATTTTTTTTGACTGATTTTGTCTTTTATTAGATTCAAACGCAAAATGGTTCTATATATGAAGGAATATTTAGAACCTTTTCCAGTCAGTTCGATGTCGTTTTGGAAATGGCTCATCGAGTTGATACAGATGGAAAAATTACTGTTGAAAGTGTTGTAGAAAAATTGATTTTTAAACCCCAGGATATTATAACAATGACTGCTAAGGATGTTGATTTGGATTACGCTATTAAAGATACATTCCAAACTGATACAGCTATTAGTAAATATAATGGTCAAGTACGTCAAAGAGAATTGGAGCCCTGGCAACCTCCATCAACAATGAATGGAGTTGAATTTGATTTGGACGGTGCTTCTGTAAGTTAAATTGTTTGAAAAAAAAATTATTTCTTTTCTTAAAAGTTAGGGGAAAATAAATCCAAACTTGATTCTTTTACAGAATGGATGGGATGCAAATGACATGTTTCGGAAAAACGAAGTAATGTACGGAGTTCAAACAACTTTTGAACCCTCCTTGGCTGGATATACGTTGCAACTTCAGCGAAAAGATACAAAAGATTACAAGGATCAAGAGCAAAGAGCGGCTGATATTGCACACGAAATTGAATCGCAGCCGAATTATAAGGCTCGTTTAGATCTTGAAAATGGCGATGAGGAAGAAAGATTCGCGGCAGTGGTTAGTATTTTATTTCTTTTGGCGAAGTTTATATAAATATCAGGTATCACAGTTGGTCCCCTTTTCCCCTTTTGTCCCCTAATTTCAATTTTATCACCTTTTTCTCCTTTTTTTTGGTGATTTGTCCCCTTTTTCTAATAAAAAATAAACAAGTTTTTCTTTTTTTGAAATCTTTTTCGAAGTGTTATCATAAAATTTAGACTCAATGTTATAGAATTCAGTTCATTCAATTCAATTCAATTCATTTGGTTCATTCAACAAAATGCAGACCTCTAGAAAAATAATTAATTAACGTTCAAATAATTAAAATATTATTATTATTAATAGAATGCAAACATCCAACTATTTTCAAAAGTAATAAAATTCTTCGCAGAAATTGAATTATATTCAAAAATTTAAAGAAATTCTTCTTAAAAATTCAATTATTTTCAAAAATTTTAATCAAATTCATGGCAAAATTTCAATTATTTGCAAAAAATTTCCTAAATTCAATGATTTTCAATATCTACTATTTTAATAAAACTTTATTAATTAAGTTCTACGCAAACGTTAAATTATTTTCATAAATAATAAAATAATTTCACAGGAATTCTATTATTTACAAATTTTTTATAAATTTCTTGGCAATAAATCAATTATTTTCATAAATAAAAAAACACTTCGCAGAATTTCAATTATTTTTAGTACAATTTTAATCTCTCGGTCATTTTTAATTATTATAAAACATGAAGAAAGTTAATTATGATCACTTTCTTTATGTTTTATAATAATATTCTCATAAATTGTTGAATTTCAAAAAGATTTGAATATTTTTTAAAAGAAGAAGTTATTGCTGTTTTCGAATAATTTTACAATTAAAGAAATTCGTAAATAAATGTAATTTTGTCTTTTTTTGTACCCATTTTGAGGAAAAAAGGTACTGTGATGCCTGAAATAAGTAAAATTAAATTTGAAAATATTAAATTTCTTTTTAAAATTAAAAATTACAGTTGAGGCCGACTGAAGGTAAATATGTGCCGCCAGCAAAGAGGAAACACATAAATACTGGAAAATTGGTGCGTTCAACACCGCCACCAGTTTCACCTGGACCGACAACAAATAAAAATACTTTCAGTCAACCACCACCGTCAAATCCACCATCGTCAAACATTCCAGTGGGCATATCTTCTCATCCATCGCCACAATCGCATTCAATCCCTCTTAATACAGGGATGCCAAGTGGCGTAATTGTTAATTACCCTCCACCTTTTGTGCCAACGCCTACAACTCAACCGCCACCAAGTGCAGGAATTCCTGGTTAGTTTTTATTTTCTTCGAATTTTCTACAAAATTAAATTCTTTTACTCCAATAATAAAATAATATTCATTAATTTTGTTGTCTTAAAAATAAAATTCATTTTTTAGTTGTACCCCCAGCGCAATCTCAATCACAAACATCTTCAATTCCGCAAATTGCATTCTCTCAACAACAACAGCAATCATCACAGCAACAGCAGAATAATGTAAATAATGAAAAACGCGAACGACCCGGTCGACAGGTTCATCAATCTGATAAAGCCCCACCGGCACCATTTCCGCAAGCAAATATTGCTTCACATCAACAGCAGCAAATGCAACATTCATCTCATCCTCCAATTCAACAACAAAATTCCATTGAAGCACAGAGATGTGAAATTATTCCTCCCAAGACAGAGCATAGAAAGGTTAGCGATTGAATTAATAAAAAAAAATTTTTTTTCGCAAAAATAATATTCATTGTGAATATTGAATATTGAAGGTAATAATTTTTTACTTTATACTTTTTTCAAATTTGTATTCCTTCTTTTGGCAATTTGTCGCCATTTTCACATTTTTTTCACGTTATCAAATTAAAATTTTAATTTTTAAAAAATTGTTTTTTATTTTTTTCCGTTTTTTTTTAAATTTCTGGTTGGGAAAATGTTGGGGATGAAAAAGAGAGGAAACTAGTTTTCAAAATGTTTTATAGAGATGTGAGTTTGTTTTCTTTTTTTAAAGTCACGATTTTTGATAAATGTTTTTGAAGATCGAATTATTTGAATTTGTTGTTTAACGATTTTATATTTTATAATTTAAAAAAGAATTTAGGTTTCTTTTGAATTGTTCTTATTTTAGATTCGCTTAAAAAATTTAAGTTTAGTTTTTTCTTTGAATTATTAAAATTTTTTTTAAATGATAGTTTACGAAAATTTTTTGAAATGAAAGTTGGTATTTTGTTCTTATACATTTTCTTTATTTTACTCTTTATGCACGGGTATTATTATTAAATATAATTGCACTTAAATATTACGTCAGTGAAGTTCACAAGGTTTATGATCAACGATTGAAAGAAAAAAAAATATTTTTCACGAAGAGAACAATATTTTTTGTTAACAAATTTTTCTTTTTTCAATTATTCATCAAAAATGTATATATAAAACATTTTGAAACAAAAATATTAACAGAAAAAATATTTTCTTAATTATTGATTAGAAATGTATGAACGCAATATTTTTATATTTAATATTATTTAGTATATTTCATTTGAGGGTAAATATTATTTCTAATAGAATAAACTTTTTTCTGCCATAGAAAAATGTGAACTTATTTAATTCTTGGCAGGAACTAAATTTTTCTAAAATATTCAAATTTCCTTTCGTTGAAAAGCCTAAAAAATGTCTTCGAATAATTTTTATTTTTTTCCAAATTGGCCTAAATTATTTGAAACCAAATTCGAATTATTAAATAAAATAAATTTTCTTTTGTAGAAAAGTAAAAATAAAAAATCCTGCTTTTCAACTTTCTGCTTCTTAACAAAATTACGAGAAAATTGTTCTGTGACTACCGTCCATAATATTGAGTAGACACCTTTTTTTCAATATAGTGTAAAAAGCGTTAAACGTAGAAAAGAAAAAGAATAAAAAGTATCTATTTTTTTCCTACAAGCTAATAAAATTATGAAAAGAATGATACCTAATAGGAGAGATTACGTTAAGTTTTCTGTTAGATATATAAAAAATATTGATTTTCCATGTTTGTTTAATTTTTCAATACCTCCCAAGATAATAAACATTTTTTTAACGTTCTTGGACTCATTCTAATCGTTATTTAATGTAAAATAATTAAATTTATTTATCGGTATTTTGGTAAATATTTTTCCTCACCAGTTGCAAATCGTGAAACTTGGATAAGAGAAATTTAAAAAACTATTATTAGTATTAAGATGTCAAAAATGTTTCAGTGAAATATTTAAATTTTATAGATGCATAAAAATCCAAGAAAACTTATTGAGGTAAACAGGAGCACGAATTCATTATAATAAAAAGTACTCAGATAATAATAAATAATTGCTATTAAAAATAACAATTTAACAAAATATTATAGGATGTGAGGGAAATAAAAAAAGCGAATTATTATTATTATCCTGTGGAATATTATAAAAAAGAAGTATTGAATTTTGTCTTCTAGATAACAACACCAAGAGGAAGAGATGAACATCATGCGGATTTGGCACAATTCTCGCGTGACTTTAAATTAAGTGAAACGCCTGCTCAAGAAACACCGCCTATTACAAGAAAACATCAACAATCACAACATCAGGAGACACATTCCACTCCAGTTCAACAACAAACTGCTCACCATCAATCATCACATCAACATCAGACATCTCCCCAAGCTCAACCACAAACTCCACAAGTATCACATCAATCACATCAATCGCATACACCGCATCAACAACCAGTGTCCGAGGAGCCACTAGTCACCAGTAAACCACCACCGGGTCCAATTCCCGTACAGACAAATTCACCACCTCAACAGCAACCACAGACAACGCCACCAATTCCAGCCGCTGAACCGGCTGTCGAAAAAATTACAACTGCTTTCAAAAAATCAACATTAAATCCAAACGCTAAAGAATTCAATCCTAATGCTAAACCATTTACTCCGGTAAGTTTTTATAAAATACAATGTTTTCTTTTATTAACAAAATATACTATATATAATTATATTTATTTTAATAATAATAATTAAATGTATTTAATGAATAATTTTACTTAAATTTTTCAAAATTCATTGATTTTTAAAAGTGTTAAATGTTTACAATTTTCATAAATAGATGAACTTCAAAAGAAAAAGGAATTCTTCGGAAATTAGTTAAAATTTTAATATATATTTAATTAATTATTAAAAATAATGGATTTGTAGAAGAATTTTAGTTAAAAACACAAAAAAAAATTGAATTTTTGAGAAGTTAGAAATTATTGCAGAAATTCTGTTATTTTTAAAAGTAATAAAATTCTTCACAGAAATTCAATTACCTATGTTAAAAAATTTTTAAAAAATACGCGACGAAATTTCAATTATCTTTATAAATAATAAAATTCTTCTCAAAAATTCAATTGTTAACCAAAATTTTAACTTAATTCTTGTCAAAATTTCAATTATTTTCAAAAATTTTCCTCAATTCAATGATTTTCAATATTTACTATTTTAATATAATTTTCCAAAGGAATTCGATTATTTAAAAAAAAATTTAATAAAATTCTACGCAAATATTTAATTATTTACATAAATAATAAAATTCTTTTTAGGAATTCATCGCAGAATTTCAATTATTTTTAATACAATTTTTATCGAATATCTTATTCGATTTTAACCGAATATCTAATTATTCTTACAAATTTTATTAAAATTCGTCAAAAAGAATTCAATTATTTAAAAATTTGTTGATGAAATTCTTTATGAGAATTAAATTTGAAGAAACATTCAATTATTCAATAAACTATTTATTTTTCTATTAATATAATTGAATTCTCGTAGAATTTTCGAATTAAAATTGATTTATAGTAAAATTTCAGTTAAAATTTTAGATAATAATTCAATATTAAAACCATTATATATTATTCATACTTTTAACAAACAATTCTGTAGAATTAAATTTCTTGAAAAACTTTAATTGGATTTTTTTTTAAATTATTTAAAGTTTTTATTTTCTAATTTATATTTAATTGAAGAATTTCCGAATAATCGAAATTTCGTGAAATTGAATTGTAAACAAATAAATTTGAAAATTCTCAAAGAACTTTTTCAAAAATTATTAAAAACAATTGTGTTAAAGAAGAATTTTATTTACAAATTCTAGAAAATAATAATTGAATTGAAATGATGAAAATAATTTTGAAGAAGTTACAGTAACAATATAAAACATGAAGAAATCGATCGCTACGAGTCGAACACTCGGAGTGATCGATATTTTCATGTTTTGCAATAAAATTTTTGTAAGTTGTTGAATTTCAAAAAGGTTTGAATTTGAAATTTTTGAAAATCTTAATTCCTATGGAAAAATAATAATGATTAAATATTTATTAAAAAAAGAAGTTATTGATGTTTTCGAATAATTTTACAATTAAAGAAATTCGTAAATAAATGTAATAGAACATTTTTTTTTGTGTTATCTAATCATTTTTAGAGTAAATCAGAATATTCTCTAGGGTCAGGAAAGAAGTAAAAATTTTGTCTGAGAATCAGGGAAAATCAAAATTAAATTTTTGTGGCAACCCTTGTTACAGAAACGTTATGGAAATATTTTATTATCTAACTTGACTCGGAGTAATTGCAAAAAATTCATATTTTTATCAACAATAACTAAAGTTATAAAATTGTGTAAATTTTGGTAGATTTTCTGTAATGTGGAATAATAATAAAAAATTTGTATTGTTTTCAGCGATCTCCAAGTACACCAACTCCAAGCAGACCACACACTCCTCAGACTCCGCAATATAGTGGCGCTGCAATGTCCGCTACTGTTGTTATGCCAGCGTATGTAATGACAAGCCAACCACCCACTGCTTTCACTCAACCCCCATCCCAACCTGTTACAAGGTTCCGGAAGGGTCAGTATCTAGGTATGAAACGTGTCATCATATGTTTACAAACTTATTTAGATTATTATTATTGCTTTTTTAGTAAAGGAATTCCCAAATTTGGAGAATGTGATGAGAATAATATTGTAAGGAATTTTTATCTACATGATTTGTTTCTTTGAAAAATTCAATGAATTTATACTTTTATGTTTATCTTTTACAAAAAAAAATTAATAATTAAAGACTATCAACCATAAGAAACAATAGTGGAATAAAAATTCTTTACACGAAAAATAGCTGCATGCTTCGTAATTGTATTTGGTTTGTAAATTATTTGAAGTATTTCAGTTCTTAAAGAACAGGGTAAAATACAAAAATAATAATTTACGTAATTCATTGCTTATTATAACTCATTTTTCTAGTCGTATTTCTTAAACAATTTTTTATATACGAGTAAATGATAACCTTTAAAAAAAAGCATAGATAATTATTTTTTCTACATATCATGGTTTAACACATCTAGGCCAAGAACATTAGAAATGAAACTCGTTCCATTTAAGATTACTCTTAAGATAGTACTAATTACAATAAGTTTATAATTTCAAACAAAAATCAATTTTCGACTAATTAAGTTCCATTTGTCGAACTAATGATTTGTCTCATTAGAGATAAATCTTTTATTAGAGATTTTATTGATAATTTGAAAAAAAAAATGGGAAATATTAAAAACTCGAGACAAATTTACACTAAAATTAATTTTAATTATACAATAATATTATAGATTCATAATTTTTTAGTTTGAATTTTTAAATTTTGCTTTAAATGTTAGAAAGAAAACATAAAATACAAATTTTATTGACAGTACGAGTCGTAAAAATAATTTCGTCACTGACAAACAATTCTGATAAGATTTTTACTTGAAATGCTGTCCTTGAAACTATCGAGTTAGCTTTAGATTTTTTTTGCAATTCAAAATTCAGAAATAATATTTAATATAATCGTTACAAAAATTATTCACGTGCTTTATATTTTTTCTAGACAATTTTTTTTTCTGATTTATCATTTTTTTTAACAAAAATTATTTCCGCGCCTTTTTTTCTTATTTTATTTCTATAAATGGCACATAAAGAGAAGATATTTATTTTTTTAATACATGTAGAGATTTTTTTTGTTACTTGTAGAATTTGTATAGTAATTTCCATGGATTCGATTTTGAATGTGATTAAAAAAAAAGCGAAGCAAATAGAGTAAAGAATATAAATGTAAAATGGAAAAAATGCCTAAATGTGATGGACCAAAATGAACTGAGAATTAATGTAAACGCTGTTTTCACAGTACCCATGATGCCACATCGCGCGCCAGACATTGCATCACAAATGCAAGTGGCAGCGGCAACTGGACAACCATTGTTGGCTCCAGCGCCGCTGCATCCACCATTCCAGGTGCCTTATCCAGGTCAACAAACCTACCAACAAATGGTGCGCATGGTGCAAGCGCCACCACCACCGCCGCACATGGGAACGCCTTATCATCACCATCATCACGAATCACCAGGGCCCCAAGCGCCGGGCTTACAGTACATGGGACCTCACGGTCATCCCCATCACGTTGCTCAACAACAACAGAGTCAAACACAATCGTCAGCAAATCCCAATCAATCACACACTCCAGGAGCCTATAATCCTCCAGGTACACCTCAACCATCATATCCTCAACCACCACCGCAAGGTCACGCAGCAACCTATCCAATAATGTGTCCAATTATTCCGCAACATTTACCTCTACCTCCTCAACATATGCAATACCTTCCACCCCAACCACCTGGACAAACAATACCAGTTATTCTCCCTCATAATCAGTAGCTGCTTCAAAACAATCAATAGAGAATGAGAGGGTTTATAGTATTCAGCAAAGATATATAGAAAAGAATATTAAATTTTAAAAAAAAGTCAACTCGATATTGATTCGCTGTTATTTCAACCACTGGAGCAATTTTTTCTCAATTGCTTGTTAAAGCAAAATCGTCTCTTTCTCTCTCTCTCTCTTTCTCTTTCTATTAACTGCCATAAAATACTTCTCTAAAAAATTGGAAACCGTGTTTCCTGTTTTATTATTCAGAGAAGCTATATAAAAAAAGGGATCGATTTGTAATCAAAAGAAAAAAGGCCGACTTGAAAAAATCTAGTGAAAAAAAATCGCGCGACAAATAAACAATTTTCAAGTTGACTTTTTTATATCGAGAAAAAAAATGGATTACTGAAAAACTAAACAAAGTAATCCATTCACTTTGCGACAATTTTATTTCACCCTCGCAACTCTTGACGTTCTATACCAAAGCAAAATATAAACGAAAAACAAGAAATGAAACTTTGAAAAAAGAAAGTCGATGATTTTTTCTTAAACTGGCTTTAAGAATTGCTCGCGTTCACCCGCATTTGAGAAAGAAGAAAAACAAATCTCGCTTTTTAGGTATTAAACTCCCCCCGAGTTTAAACCTAATTTCTTTTTTCTCTCTAAACACGACTGAAACGGAAATTAGTTTCCAAAAAAAAAAAGCGGAAAGAATTTTTTCAGCAGAATTAACTTTGATTTTAAACAAAGTTTATTACAGTCGCACCTCTTCATTAATATTCGTTTTTATAGTGAATTTTTTCGAAAGAAGAGAAGCGAATGGACATTTTTTTTTCCAAATCACACGCGTGATCTGCTGAATCTGATCCTAAATAGGAAAAAAAAGGAAAATAAAAACTAAAATTGTTGAGATAAAAAAAATTTGTTAAGATCGGTAATCGAGTGTGTCCATCTCCTCATCGAAATAGAAGAAAAAAAAGGTAGAGCACAGAGTTTCATTAAAAAAAGATCCCAAACTCTGTGAATTGTTGATATTGAGTTTTGTTATGAAATTCTTGTATAAGAAAGAAATTAGGAAAGCAATGGCTCATTATATGAGGTTTCTCAATGGGATTCCTGCATTTTCTCTTAAAAAAAAAAATATCGAACGATATCGCGAAAATTAATAACACGTGTTCCCTATTCAAGGTACAATAAATAAATAAAACAAAAACTAATAGAAATGCTTTTAAAAAGTAGAATATTGCAAAAAATTGACAATTTTCCCAAATTCAATAGTTCAATTTTACACTTAATCCTTCCCCTCCCCTAAAAAAAAAAATATGTACATTAAGTTTTAAATTAAATTTAAATTAATATATCTTCGACAAAAATGCTTTTCAAGTTAAATTACTCATTCAAATTTTAGACGAAAATGGAAATCACATCGTTTTTTTTTCATTATAATAATAATTGTAATTTCGATTTGAAACACTGTAAAGAAAATAAGCATGATTTTATCAATTAGAAAAAAAATTAGTAGCAAAAATAAAAGAAAACCCCGTAAAGTATTGTTAAATTGTTTTACTGTAAATTCAAGACAGTTTCTGAAAAAAAAAATTTGTAAATAACAAAACCTTCTGTTCAGTTGATCCTTCAAAATGTGCGTTTAACATTTGTTGAATAAAAAGAAAAAATGCATCGATTATTGTCACGGGAAAAATGAAAGGTCTGCTTCCACAAGTTTAAAAACTATCTTTTAGGTACTACGACATTGCGTTCTATTTTTTAAAGTGCTTAAATGCACTAGGTATCGTGAAAATCTGTACCTAAGAAAGACTAGAATCGCATATCGTTAGATATCGTTGAATAAAAGAAAAAAATAAAAGAATTATCTTTTACGGCCTTAGACCTAGTCGTGTACATAAGATGGAAAGGTAGGGAACGATCCTCATTTGGAAGGTTCACTGCGTGGTATCGTTAGACACAAATTTTATATCGAAGAGATTTAAACTTGAAAAAAAACATCAAAATAAAGTAAAAACTTTAAAAGCCAAATGGTTTTCTTTTTTCTTCATTCCCTAAATCTTGATAATTTTAGATTTTGACTTTATTAATCTAATTTAATTTAATTTCATCAAATTTTAATCGATTTAAAATTCTCTCGATCAAAATTTTTAATTATTAATTAAAGCTTTAATAGCTGATAAAAAAAAATTACAATTGCAAGCCTTGGATATTATGATTTTTTTGCCTTTTTTCCACTATTTTCAAAAAATGCGACTTTTTTCGACTTATTTTAAAAAATTGTGACTTTTTCAACTTTTCTTCCAAATATTGCAATAAAATACCAAATTTTTTTTTAGTATAAAATGCAACTTATTTCGATTTTTATGTCAAAAATAACTAGACAGTTCTTTACAAAATTCATTTTTGAATAATTTTTCTAATTAAATTTTCGAATTATACAATTAAAAATATTTTGAATAATTAAAATTTTATAAAATTTAATTGAAAATAATTATTTTTTAAAAGTATTTTATTACAATTTTTGAAGATAAACTTTTGAAGAATTTTAATTGCAAATTTTGAAAATAATTAAATTCTCAATTTTAATAAGAAAAATTTCCAAGTGTAATTTTAAAAATGAAAATGAATGAAAATTAGCTTCTAAAAAAATGATATAAAAATATTTTCGAAAAAAGTGATTCTTATAATTTATTCATTCTAATTTTTTGAAATTCAATTATGTACAATATTTTCAATTAAATATTTTTTCGAAAATTCAAATATTAAAAGTTTTAAGACTTATTTTTAACAATTTGGAGCAAACATCATATTCAAAATTTTTTAATAAAATTCTTAAAAAAAATTAATATTTTTTAAATAATATAAAAATTTTTTTAAGAAATTCAATTATTTTCGAAGAATTACATTACAATATTTTTAAAAAACTTATTTTTAGAATTGTTTTATCAAAATTTTTTAAGATTCAATTATCTTCTTCTCGTGGAAAAAGAAATATATAAGTTTTTAAATATTTATTTAACAAAATTATTCAAGTTTTGAATAATTGAATTTAGAATTCAGAAGAAAATACAGAAATAAAATTGATTTAAAAAAGAATTTCAGAAAATAATTGAATATTAGAAGCGTTATAGTAGAAATTTTTTGGAATTAATTAAATTTCAAAAGAATTTTAAATTGAAATCTTTGAAAATTTTAATTGCTACAAAAGTATAATAATATCTAAATATTTATTATTAAAAATTATTAGTTTTCTAAAAAATTATTAAAGTTTTGAATAATTTTCTTTTTAATTCTAAAAAATAATTGAATTTCGAAAGAAATGCAGTTGTCAATTTTAGAAATTAAATTTCAAGAAGTTTTAAAATGAAATTATTTAGAATTTTAATTAATGTAGAGAAAAATAAATAATAATAAGTATTTAAATATTTATTTAACAAACATTATTGAACTTTTAAGTACATAATTTAATTAGGAAATTTTGAAAAAATGACTTAAAATTTTTCGAAGATAGTTAAGTTCTTTAATATAATTTTAAAAAATTGAAATATATGGAAATTCTTGAACTGATATTTAAAATTTATATTTGAAAGAATATAATTTTTTTACATATTAAGAATAATTTTGAAAAATAATCGAAAAAAGAACTTTTATTAAAAACTTTGTTTTCCAAAAAAATTTATTAATTTAAGAATTTTATTTCCACTTTGAAATATTTTCGAATTATTTGATACTTTATTTTATAGAGAAAATAGGAACTAATTGATTTTTACATGTAATTTTAATTGAACTGAAAAAAAATTAAAACGTTTCACCTAGAGGTTTAATTGTTAATTCTGTCACTTGAACACGTGGATGTGTTCCCAAAATATAAACAATTGCTTCCGCAATATCCTCTGTTTCCATAATAGGCGCAGTATTCACTATGTCTTTCGTCGGTTGATCCTTTTGATCTATAGTTGGAAAAATTGTTCTTGTAAAACCTGGTGAAATACTCTGTAAGCAGAAGTAGAATAAGAAAAAACAAATTTATTACATTTTTAGAAAAAAATTAATACCATCTTAATATTTTATTTCATTATTTTAAAACGTTTTTAATTTTTGATTGTCAAATTTAAATTTCATATTTTTAATTTTTTTATACAAATTTTAGTAAGAAAAACGTTAATTACCGTCATTCTTATTTTACTGCCAATTAATTCTAGTTCTAAAGTCGTTGTTAATGCTGTTAATGCAAATTTGGTTGCACAATAAACATTTGATTCCCATCCTACTGTTCGTACTACCCTGTGTCCATCAATGCTAAAAACAATTTTAATAGTTTTTGTTTTTTAAAATTAAAAAAATTTATTATTTTAATATCTTAATAATTTATTTAAATTTTTTAAACCTGTTAAGATTTATGATGTGGCCTTCTTCACCAGATTTTTGTAATATTTTTATTGCTTGTTGACTGCAATATAATATTCCCAGCATATTCACACCAATAACTTGATCCCAAATTTCCTGATTAGTATCTAAAAATTTATTAAAGTTTGATTAAATTATTATTAACTACAATTATCATTATATTATTATTTATATTGATTATATTTTGTTACTAATTGAAAAAATTTATTTTTAGAAGAAAAAATATTTTTCTATTTAATTATAAATTTTTGTTTAGAAGACGTTTTGCATAGTTTCTGAATCTTGAATAGTGAAAAAAGAAAAAAATAATTATTATTAAATTCGCAAAGGCAGAATAATTTGTTTAATATTTTATACAAAAAAATATATTACCTATTATATTTCCATCAAATGAAATACCAGCGTTATTGATAAGAACATGAACACCACCTAAATTTTCTCTCATCCATTCAAAAAGTTGAATTACTTCTTCTTCTTTTGAAATATCACATTTTAAAGCGTAAAATTTACCTTTGCCTTTAACATTTTCCATTTCACTCTAAAAACACAATGAAAATGCAAGAAAAAAGGAAGAAAATAGATGAATAAATTATTAAATAATTAGTAGTTTTTGATACACATTTTCATACATACCTCAATTTTTTCCTTTCTTCTTGACACTCCCACGGTAATCATTCCTAGTTTAAATAAAGTTTTGGCTGTTTCTAATCCAATTCCATGAGAAGCACCAGTTACCAAAGCAACTTTTCCCTCCCAACGATTCATTTTTTTTCTTGTTTGTTTAATTATTGAGAGAAAATTCAATAAAGTGGGAGAATAGAAAATTACTTTTTAAAATATTTAAACAAAATTTGTTTTTATTTTCGCAAAGTTCTATATAGAAGAGAATGAAACAAGTTAATAACATTTCTTTATATAATTTATATAGATCTCTTATACAATGACTTGCTTTTATGATTTATGAAAATTTATACTTTATTATCAGAAATAATTATAAATTTAAAAACTTTTTATCCATTATGCAGCATAAACATTTCCTCTATTTCTAAAATTATTATTATTAATTATTATTCTAAAATAATTTATATCGAATTATTATTCATATTTTTTTTTTGAAAACATTAAAACATTTAAACTAATGGAAAAATTAAAAAAACAGATTTTTTTATGATTATTTTCCATTTATAAAAATTCGAGATTATTTTGAATATTTAGTAAATATGAAAGTTTTATTTCATAAAGAAATTAATTCTTTTTTTTTACATATGTTTGGAAAATAAAAACAAAGAAAGTGATTCAAAGTATTTCACCAAGGGGTCTAATTGTCAATTCACTTATTTGAACTCTTGGATGGGTACCCAAAATATAGAGAATTGATTCTGCGATATCTTCAGGTTGAATTTGTGGTAATTTTCTTAATTCAACTTGACCAGCGTCTTTATTTATTAAATTTGTATTTACCAAACCTGGACTGACACTCTGCAAAAAAAAATTTATTTCAAATTAACACATATTTCTTTTTTCTAGATTATTGTATAGAAAACAAAAGTGTAAATTACCGTCATTCTTATTTTACTGTCAATTAATTCTAGTTCTAAAGTTGTTGTTAATGCAGTTATTGCATGTTTCGTTGCAGCATAAATATTCGAATCCCATCCGCCTACACTTCGAACAATTCTGTGCCCAACAATGCTGAAAATATATTTTTCAGTCTATTTTTAACAGTTAAATTTTTTTTTGCCTTTTCTAATATTACTTTCTTTTTTCTAATATTTCTAATATTTTTTCTTCTTTCTAATATTATTTTATTTTTATAATATGTACTTCTAAAAATTTATCTCTTCTTTCTAAAGTATAAAAAAATTTGTCATCTCGTCAAATATGAGAATGAATCAGAATAATTTTACAATTATTATTACTCCAAATATATATATTTCTTTAGTTTTGCATAAATTTTGTAAACCTGTTAATATTTATTATGTGACTTTCTTCGCCAAATTCTTTCATCATTTTTATCGCTTCCTTACAGAAATATAATACTCCTAGGATATTTACTCCAATAACTTGATGCCAATCTTTCTCATTTGTTTCTGGAAATTATAAACAAAATTGAAATATATTCAAATAATTAAATTCCTCGAAAAAATTGAATTACTCTTGAAAAATTTTGATAACATTTTTTATGAGTTTATTCCTCATGACTAAGAATATTATTTGATAAAAATACCTATTATTTTTCCTTTTACTGAAGTGCCAGCATTGTTGATAACCACATGAATATTTCCAAAATTTTTTCTTATCCATTGAAAAACTTGATGAACGTCTTCCTCTTTGGAAACATCACATTGCAATGCGTATAATTTTCCTTTTCCTTTAACATCTTTCATTTCACTCTAAAAAAAAGAAAGAAAAGCATTAAATAATATAAAGTCAGAAATAAATCAATACAATTATTAATTTGTTTATTAATTTAAATTTATGTTTTATATTTTAAAAAATTGTTTTCAAGAATGAAAATTCTAAATTTGTTTGAACATCCACATATAGTAATAAATTTTTATGTAATTAATTTAAAAAACCTCTATTTTTTCTTTTCTTCTCGCCACTGCTACGGTAATCATTCCTTGTTTAAATAAAGTCTTGGCAATTGATAATCCAATACCATTAGATGCACCAGTAACGATTGCAACTTTACCCTCCCAGCGATTCATTATTTTTTGTTAATAAATTGACAGAAAATTTTTAATAACTCTTTTTTGAGAATTAAAGAATTGTTTATTATAATTAATAAAATAAATTGAGGCTGTTCATGTGATTTAGTTTCAGTGAACTTATTAGGTCTATGAAAAGAATTGAGACATCTTTTAAAAATCAAAACATTTCTTTATAAAGCTTTTGTAATGTGGGAAAACAATTATTCATACACGTATTATCTCAAAAAAATGCTAAACAGAAAAATTTATTATTCAATAATATTCTGAAACATATTTCCATTTTTTGCATAATTAGAATTCATTTATTCTTTAAAATTTGTTTAAATTAAAATTGTTATAAATTTAAATGTAGAATTAATCATTTTTCTTTTTGCTAGAAAATATAACTTCGGGTATTTTTCGAAAATAAAAGGAAAGAGAGACAAAAATTCTTTAGGGCTAAAAAGTAGTTTTTAAAATTATAATACGAAAATGAAACTTTCTGAAGTAGGCGTCGAAACTTTGTTTTCGCAAAACTGAAAAATATAATAACCATTTTTTCGAAGATTTTAGGTTTAAAAAGGTGAAAAATAATTCAGCTCCATTGCAATAAAATTGTAAGTTAAATTAGTAACATTTTCATGACTAGAAATCTTGAATAATAATTTTCGACGCTGATCATCGACGATAACTTCAAGGACTTTAAAATGATTTAAAATTGAAAATTTAAATTAAATAATTTAAGTTGCATTTAAATAAATTAAAGGATTTTAACATGTTTAAATTATTATGATTTTAACATTAGGTAATAATAAATGTCGAGTCAATATTCAATAAAAACAATTTTCCCATTGTAAGAGGAATAAATGGTTCTTTAGGATAGAAGAATTAATTTTTATTTCTAAATACAGAATTTGTAATTATTTTAAAATAACTTCTCACCATGAACTGAAAGTGTCACTTCTTTAACTTGTACTCGTGGATGAGTACCCAAAATATAAATAACAGATTCTGCCACATCTTCTGCTTCCAAAAGTGGCCTACCTCCAAAGTCTTCTTCAATCGATTTTCTGCTTGCACAAGGTGTATTAGTGAGTCCTGGACAAATATCCTATAAATAAATCATAATAAATTTTTTTAAATTAAAAAATGTTTATATAACAATAAATGTTTTTATTCATAATTCGAAGTAAAAAGACTGAATGAAAAACAATAAATATTATTTATTTTCATTACCGAAACTTTTATTTTACTGTCAAGTAATTCATTTTCCAAAATTTTTGTTGCTGCACGAACTGCGTATTTCGTTGCCGGATAAACATTCAATTTCAGAACTGGATCTCTAAGTATTCTTTGCCCAGTAGTACTAAAATAATACAGTAACTTTCATAATTATAATAATAATTTGAATTACAATGCAACATTTTTTTTGTGATGAATTTAACAATTATAAATTTTAAATGCAATAAATCATAAATTATCGTGAAAGAATAATAACCTGCACATATTTATAATTTGACATTCTTCTTCACATTTTTTCATAACCGAGACTCCAATTTGACAACAATTTAATAAACCAACTAAATTCGTATCTATAACTTTCTTCCAATCTGACGAATTTGTCTCTATAAAGAAATGAAAAATTAAATAAAAAGTACATTATTAATAAAAATCTGCTAATTTTACCTATTATTCGTCCAGCGACCCAAATTGCAGCGCAATTTACTATAACTCGAGGACAACCTAAATTCTTCTCCACCCAATTAAATAATTCTTTAACATTCTCTGATTTTGAAACATCACATAAACGACTATAAAATTTTCCTCTAATTATAGTACTTTTTATCTCACTCTAGAAGAAGAAATTTATTTTTCAAATAAATATACTTTTATAGATTAAAAATTTTAATTTCATTTTCTTCAATTCTAGAAAGAGTATTTTAAATTGATAGAAGTTTTTACAATACCTCCATTTTGTCCTTTTTTATGTCAACTCCGACGACAATCATATTTTTAATAACTAATGCGTTAGCGATTGCAAAACCAATTCCAGAATTAGCGCCAGTTACAATCGCTATTTTTCCAGCCCAACGATCCATTTTGAAATGTGTTAAAGAAAATTACAAAAGAAATAAATCCTTAAGACAAACAATTGCCAGAAGATGAAAGAATTTTGTCAATAGTTGATTTTTACAACTAACTTTTTTCAGTTCACCTAAAATAATATTAACTTCTTTATATATTATCAAAGAAATGCAATGTATATTTAATGTGTTATCTAAAAATTATACTCTGTATAATTTTTGCCTGCACACATCACAATGAATTAAAATTCAAATTGCAATAACAAAAAATATTAAAAAAATTAGTTAGAAATATTAATAAAAATTCAGTATTCTCGTCTCTGTTTAAATACTTAAATTTTCAATAATTTTTTATAATTTAAATAATAAGTCTACAATAATATTTTCCAAAATTATAAAAATTATTAATATTGAAGATCAAATATCAGCCATAATGAACGATTTTATTTTAGAGACAGAAACTAATGCGTATTAAAATATTAACAAACTTAAGTAATTAATAAGAGAAATAAAAATGTTAATTATATTTTTAAACGGAAATGTAATTAATATTATTTAATTAAACAAATTAATGTGAAACAGTTTATGAATAAATTAACAAAAATACCGTAAATCTGGTCCAAGTTTCAAAATCCAATGTTTGTAATAAAATTAAAAGTTTTTCTTGAATATGAATCTATATTGTATAAATTCAAATTTTGACATTTTTTTAATTCTAGAACTCTTGATCCGCATAATCTATAAATAAAATACAAAATAAATTATAAATATTAGCAAAAATTAATATAAAATATTTATAACCTCCAAGGAATGATATTCAACATAGACCCTCACAGCACCGGGATATTCAGGATATCCCAGAGACGTCCTGGGGATATCGATTTGTTTTCGGAAGTTTGGATATCCCTGGATTATCCTCTGGATATCCATGGACGTCCCTAGGATATCCCAGAGATATCCAAACTTCCGAAAACAAATCGATATCCCCAGGACGTCTCTGGGATATCCTGAATATCCCGGTGCTGTGAGGGGATATATTTAAAAAAAAATTCCTAAATATAAGAAACATGAAATAACTATTAAATTTAATTCTCAAAGAATTAAATTAAATTATTAAAAAAGCAATTAAAAAATTTAATTACGAAAATTAAAAAAAGAAATACAAACCCCGATGTAAATCCCGAATTTTCAATATTATGTATTTTTGATTTTCCAATCGTCTTCTCTAGAGAGAACATCAGAGAACATTCTCTATTAAATCTACTTATATTTTCTTGAAAATTAATTATTTGAATTATATTTTTCTGAATTTATTACCTCAAAAATACGAAATTATTTAACAATAACAATTACTGTTTGTTGACATTGTCATGTGCGTATGTTCATGAAAATGCACCTTTAATAAAACCACCAATTATTGCGCATGCCAATTGTTTCAAGCATTTTCATTGGTTGATTTCTTCGAAGCGGTGATTATGAAAATTATCATCACTTCTTTAATTTTAAAAAAGAAAAATCAGATTAATTAGAATTTTTATTGATGTATTATAGATTGTTGTAGTTCGAAAAAGAAGTAATGTTTGAAAAGTGAAGGAGTAAAGTAATTAAATGAGAAAATTTTGGAAATAACAAATTGAGAATTTGAAATTAACGTTTGAATCGTCAGCCAATCAGATTAGAGGAAAATGTACGGAAGTCACGTGACCCAAAGAGGAAGTCACTTCTCAAGTAAACGTTTCCCTCAAATTGTTGCGTCTTTCATGGAACTGTCGCACTTTTTTTAGACTTTGGTAAGATTGTGTCGTATTTTATTAGTAATTTTCCATACATTTGTGAATTTAGCGTACTAGAATTATAGATTATTGATTATTTTGTTAAATAGATAAGATTAAATGGTAAAAATGGATTTGTTGCCATATGAGCGTTCCTGTCGTCTATCTTCATCGTATTTCACACTTCTCGATTTTTGGTAAGATCATATTATATTTTTCTTGTAAATTTGCATTTATCAATGCTTTGAATCTGTTAGTTTTATAAAAATTTAATTTAACTGGTTAAAAAAGTGTATTGAATCATTGAATTGAACAATTGAATTGCAAACACAGACATTGTTGCCAACATCATTGTGTTTGGTATCAGTGTCTCGTCTCCGTTAGTCCGTTGATTTGGTCGAATTTCATAAAGACACATTTGGTAAGATTTTATTTATTTTTGTGACAGTTTTGTTCTAATCGCTGATTTATCGAGTCTATTCCTATTTGGAAAAATTGTATAATTTTGTCAAATAAAGAACATTATAAATGACATTAAACATTAGATACATTAGACAATGTTGCCAAACGAATGATATCAGTCGAATTTTTGTTCGTTCAACAAATATGTCGTATAATATTTTGTCAAATCGATTGTTAGTTAATATTTTTGAGTCCCAAGTTAAGTATAAAATAAAATAAAAGTTAAAAATTAGTTTATACTAAAAAATTCGATATTGTTGGCAAAACTGAGTCACTCGCATCAAACTTCATTGTTTACCAGTCCATCAAACGCGCAGACATGCGTATTTTGATCATACAATTTTTTTGTTTTGTTAGTTATTTCTTTTTACCATTTACTACAATATTGTAAATTTTGGGTTTTTACGTGTTGATAAAAATGTATATATTCATATTAATAAGTGTTAAATAATGTTATGTAAACCTGGTGCAATGAATAATGTTCTGCCTCAAACATAACCTAACTTTTTGTCAAATTTGCAAATTTGCAACTGCGGCACAGTTGCACATAATTTATCTATTATTCTATATCAGATTAAAATTTTCTTGAGTAATAACACTTTTTTAAACGAAAACTTTTCGTTTTTGTGAATTTAAAATAGTGTTCGATGAAAAAAATTCGAAAATATATTAAAAGAGCATCAAAAGTTGGAGCGATAATGACAATATTTTCCAACATTGTAAAAATCATAGCAATATTTAGAAAATGTTTAGATTTACAGTAATTATTGTAATTTTAACTGCTGAGAAAGAAAAAGGAAATTTTTTCTTATATTAACTTTTCGTTTTTGGAGAATAAGACCTTCGAAAGTTGTTGTTCCGCAAATATGCAATTTGAATTCTTTTATTGGTAAAATTTTTATTATCTATCATTATAATCGTTATTCATTATTTATTGTTTTACTACTATTATTACATATTAAAAATTAAATAAAGTTACAGCTAAATATTGTTAAAATAAAATAAAAAATAGTAAAATCTCTGTATTTTTTTCAATTTTATATAACTTTTTCCTATTTTGTGGAAAACTTAATAGGATTTATTAATTGAGATAAATTTACTTATTGTTTAATTGTATTTTATTTTTTATTGTGAATATATTAATAATAATTTTTTCAAATTTTCAGAGTGAAAAAAAGGATCTGAAAATAAAGGGACTTGTATCTACGTTTCCTTTTCTTTTGGAAAAAGCAAAAGTTCAGAAATTGTCTAAAAATAGACCAAACGAAAGGACAATTCAACATGGGATTCCCCGAGACGCAGTGGTTCTCAAAATCTCATGAACGTAGAAAAATCTTCAATTATAATTTATAAGTAAGTCTCTCTTGTCATCATAGAAAATTATACACGTATTATCTTAAAAAATATATAAATAGAAATATTTATTATTCGATATTATTCAAAAAGAGATTTACATTTTTTGCATAATTAGTTTTCTATTCTTAACAACTTTTTAAAATTATAATTTTCATAAATTTAAATAAAATTGATTATTTCTCTTTTTATCATAAAATATAACTTCTGGTATTTTTCGAAAATAAAATGAAAAAAAACTGTCTTTAGGGCAAAAAAGTAGTTTTTTAAAATTAAAATAAGAAAATAAAACTTCCTGAAGCTGGCGTCGATGCTAAGCGTCGAAATTTTATTCTCAAAACACTAAAAAGAATGAAACTATTTTTTCGAAGATTTTTTTAAATAGTGAAAGGTTTTTCATATTTTTAAATTACAATGATTTTGACAATAATTAATAATAAATAATGTCGAAGCAATATCCAATAAAATAAATCACAGTTTTCTTGAAAGCATCAAATTTATATTAAAGTGGATCAAATTTATACCAAAAATTTGGATCAATTTATGATTTAATCCATATTTTTGGCATCAATTCGTTGCATTTTGATATTTTAAAATTAACAGTAAGAAGAATAAATGGTTCTTTAGAATAGAAGAATTAATTTTTATTTCTGAATACAGAATTTGTATTTATTTTAAAATAACTTCTCACCATGAACTGAAAGTGTCACTTCTTTAACTTGTACTCGTGGATGAGTACCCAAAATATAAATAACAGATTCTGCTACATCTTCTGTTTCTAAAAATGGCATACCTGCCAAGTCTCCTTCAATCGATTTATTGTTTGCGCACGGTGTATTAGTGAATCCTGGACAAATATCCTAAAAATAAATCATTAAAATTTATTTTCTTTTAATTAAAATATCTTTATGCAAAAATCAATGTTTTCATTCACAATTCGAATTAAATAATCTGAATAAAAAACAATAAATATTATTTATTTTCATTACCGCAACTTTTATTTTACTGTCAAGTAATTCATTTTCTAAAATTGTTGTTGCTGCACGAACTGCGTGTTTCGTTGCCGGATAAACATTCATTTTCAGAACTGGATCTCTAAGTATTCTTTGTCCAGTAATACTAAAATAATACAGTAACTTTCATAATTATAATAATAATTTGAATTACAATGGAAAATTTTTTTCGTGACAAATTTAATAATCATAAAATTTTAAATGCAGTAAATCATAAATTATCGTGAAAGAAAAACAACCTGCACATATTTATAATTTGACATTCTTCTTCACATTTTTTCATGACCGATACTCCAATTTGACAACAATTTAATAAACCAACTAAATTCGTATTTATAACTTTTTTCCAATCTGACGAATTTGTCTCTATAAAAAAATGAAAAATTAAATAAAAAGTACATTATTAATAAAAATCTGCTAATTTTACCTATTATTCGTCCAGCGATAAAAATTCCAGCGCAATTCACTATAACTCGAGGACAACCTAAATTCTTCTCCACCCAATTAAATAATTCTTTAACATTCTCTGATTTTGAAACATCACATAAACGACTATAAAATTTTCCTCTAATTATAGTACTTTTTATCTCACTCTAGAAGAAGAAATTTATTTTTCATATAAATATACTTTTATAGATTAAAATTTTTAATTTCAATTTCTTCAATTCTAGAAAGAGTATTTTAAATTTATAAAAGTTTTTACAATACCTCCATTTTGTCCTTTTTTATGTCAACTCCAACGACAATCATATTTTTAATAACTAATGCGTTAGCGATTGCAAAACCAATTCCAGAATTAGCGCCAGTTACAATCGCTATTTTTCCAGCCCAACGATCCATTTCGAAATGTGTTGAGGAAAATTACAAAAGAAATAAATCCTTAAGACAAACAATTGCCAGAAGATGAAAGAATTTTGTCAATAGTTGATTTTTACAACCAACTTTTTTGAGATCACCTAAAATATTATTAACTTCTTTCCACATCAAAGAAATGCAATGTGTATTTTAATATGTTATCTAAAAATTATACTCTCTGCATAAATTTACCTGCATACATCACAATGAATTAAAATTGAATTTGCAATGAAAAACTTATTGATAATACAAAAAAATGTTTATTTAGAATAATATAAAATTAATTATTTATTGCGAAAAACATTAAAAAATTAATAAACTTTTCAATTTTTCAGAGTGGAAAAAAGGGACTTTAAAGTATCTACGTTTCCCTTTCTTTTGGAAAAAGCAAAAGTTCAGAAACTGTCTAAAAAATAGACCAAACGAAAGGACAATTCAACATTGGATTCCCCGAGACGCAGTGGTTCTCTAAATTTTTTTAACGCAGAAAAATCTTCGATACAAGTAAGTCTCTCCTGTCATCATAATTTTCCAAAGGCAAGTTTTCAACTCTATTAAAAAAACCTCATAGTGATAGACTAATTAAATCGATTAAAGTTATAATAATTTTCAAATTTTGGAAAATTATTTTTAATCTATTTAATTAATAAGTGGGTTTTGTTTTGTTTATATTTCTCCGGACTTTGCTTTTCTTGGTATACGCGATAATTTAAATAATTAAAAATTTAAATAATGTAATTAAAAAAATATTTCAAGAGTGTATTTATTATTAACTTATTAATTTATACTTTTAATTTGAATTAGTAATAATGTGTAATAATTTGAGTTAGTGACTGACTTTTTGCTTTTGAATTAGTAAATTTTACTAATAAATAGTCGTTTCTACTAATTCATTGGTGACATTTATCAATTAAATAGCAAACAGTCAGTCACTAATTCAAATTAATAAACATTTTTAATAATTCAGTGCTGTGTCAATATTTAATTATTAAATTACAGTAGTTATAATTAAGTTTGTAATATTTACCACTACTTTTAAAATTATGATACAATAATTAAATAATTAATTAATTACTAATTTAGTATCACTCAAAGTATTTTGTATGCCAAGAAAAGTTAGAAATTCAAATATTTTGATACAAATTATCCAGTTTTAAAATTTACAAAAAATATTCTTGATTAGACTTTTTACTTTTTAAAATAAGTAATGGTTCATTCGAAGTTCATTAAAATAAAATATTCTTCTTTTATTTAAGTTATGACAACAATTATTAAAAAATATACACAGAAAAAATATAGAGTAACTTTTACTATAATTTACAAAGTAAAATCTAAACTGTCTGGAATTTCTGCGCATTTTTGCTTTGCAACTTTTACTTTGTTTTGGAGTAAATTTTGTTTTTTTACTCCGAGAATAGTGAAAATTCCAAAGCAAAAATGTACAGAAATTCCTTACAGTTTAGTCTTTGCTATAAAAGTAGTAAAAATTACTTTATTTCTTCTTTTTCTGTATTAAATTTTCATTTAAATGAATACTATCAAAAATTTTGTTTGGGATTTTTTCCCAAACTTTTTTAATTACTTAAAATACAAAAGTACTCAAAATTCTTTAGTCCACTGAAAAATAAATTTATTCAATTCAAATAAACGAGCGATTACTTGTCTATTAATCAAATAAATATTTATTTACATTAAATAATATTTACCTATATTAAATAATTTCTATTTAAGTCAAGTAAATCGTATTTGCTGCAAATACTGAAATTATTTATTCAAATACAATTTATTAGCTGTAAATAGAAATTATTTGATTCAATTAAATATTTATTTGATAACAGACAAGTGATCGGTTATTTCAATCACATACATTTTTAGCAAATCTGAAAATTTGGTAGAAAATTTTCAAACTTTTTGTTGGAAATTATAATTAGGAAAAAGAAATTAAAAAGAGAACGACACAAAAATTATATTAAACGATTTATTCAATAACGTATTCTTTTTGTGTAAATTGGCTTATTACATTACATTTATTCTACACAAAATAATATCATCAATTTTACAGATATTTAGTATATTTACAAAATATACTAAATATAAGTCCCGTTAAATCGTGCATACTTAAAATAATTTACAAATGTTGATAATGAGAAAATATTTATGAATCATATTGTATTAAAAATAGTGTAAATATACTTTTTAAAAAATGCCTCTGTTATAGAGAATTAAATTCATGTTCTAATATTACTTAATAATTAATTAACTATAGTATATTCATATTAACATTGCTCATTATTATTGGCTACATAACAAATATTGCTCAACGTAATTAATAATTAATAACATTTCTGTTCAAAACGTATTTAAACATAAAAAATAATTTTAAACAAACATTGATATGTTATTTAACGGAAATTTTTTAAATGAATAATTTTCCCATTATCTTTGATTTGTAAATATAATTAAATAACTCCATTTACATAAATATTTTCATATTATTTATGCATAATATTATGTATATGGAACAGTCGCATTAATTTTACTTTTATTATTTTCTTCTTCTTCTTTCTGTTATTATTCATATTTTATTTTTAATGAAAAATAAGTACCATTATCATTTCACTCGTTTATCACCGTTATTAAAAGTCGATATTTTATATAATATTTTTTTTTATTATTGTAAATAGAAAATAATTTCACAAAAGTAACATCAGTATAACATCTCATTCAAACGATGTATTAATGAGTAACATGAAAATAGAACAGGCATTACAAAATTAAATGCATATTTTAACTTTTCCATGAAACATAATATTCTTTATTTTTCGCAATAAATATAGTTCTATATATATATATGTCTGTTGTAACAAATTGTGTTTTATATTCTATAGTTGCGTCTCGAGAGTATTCGAATAAATTCACTTCATAAACATTGCAATCGGGTTATTAAAAAAATTAATGGATTGTTTTGGAAGAATTAATTATTAATTATTAATAATTAATAATTAACTATTAATTAATAATTATTTACTATTACCAGTTGATTATTAATTATAAATTATTAATTATTAACTGTTAGTTATTAATAATTTATTATTAATTAATAATTATTCATTATTAAATATAAATTATAATTTATAAATGATTTACTGTTGACAATTAGTTATTAATTATTTGTTAATAATTATTAATTATTAATACTGGTATAATTTACATATTATTTATAAAAAATATTTACATATTTTTTTTGTATTTTATGGGTCATTCCAGATGAAATTGTCATTAAAAATTTTTTTTTGGTACAATTTTTTCAAATTTAATATGGAAAATAAGAAAGTAACAATTTTTTATTTTGTTATTGCATGAAAGTTACAATTTCCACAATTTTCATTTAATAACAATATAAAAAAATACGTGTTTTCTTACTTTTCATATAAAATTCGAAAAAAATGGTTCAAAAAAAAAATTTTTAATGAAAATTTCCCCTGGAATGCCCTACATATGTAATTATAAAAATATTAGATAATAATTAAGAACAAATAATAATTAAAATTAACAACTAAAAATAAATTATAAAATCTATAATTAATAATTAACATTAATTATTACTAATATCCAAAAAATTATTAATATCAATGTGAGAACATTAATAAATAATAATATATTAGAACATTAATACTAATTAAATTAATTAATAATTAATATTAATGGTTATTGTTAAAATTAATATTAATAATAAATAAAAAAAATTACAATAATATTTAGTTTAACTTGTAATTAATAAAGTTGCTAATTAATAATTAATTTATTAATTAATATTAATTTTTAATTATTATAAATAATTTTCTTTTTCTTGAAAAATTTGCAAAAAATAATAGTTTTTAGCACATCTTTCATTTGAAATTCATAAAATCAAGGAAAATATGTGGGAAAAAGCATTAATTTTTCATATTGGATTGAATATAGGAAATTTGTGAATTTATTTTAAAAAGTAGTTTTTCAAGTGCCTTTTTAATTCATTGAAAACATTTCTATATGTACTATTTACATTGTAAAGAATTCACAAATCAAGTTAAAAAAAAATTATTACCTTTCTCTTGATTCGAAATTCCGTTTTCCATTGTTATTCAAATCGATATATTTACAACAATTTATTGCTTTATTTTATATTATTATTATTTATTTATTTATTTTTTTTATTATTATTATTGAAATCTTTCAATTTTTTCTCCTTTGAATTCTTTCAAGTGCTTCTATTTTCTTGTTATCTTATTATTTTCTTTATTTTTTTCATAATTTGTAATATATTTTTTATTTTTTTTATTTTTATCGTTACGTACATTAATTTATATAGTGAGGAGTTTATTTAAATCAATATATACGCAATTATTATTATTATTTATATCATTAAAATTGTCCCTGAAATCTGATGTTACTTAAATGTAATCAAATTTTCGTATAATTCAATCATCCACCAGAATAATTATTAGTTCTTTTGTACTGACAATAGTCGGTTGAAGATTTTTTTATTTTCTGTTTTCGCGATTAAAATTATATATTTACAAGGATTAAATTTTTAATTGTAAGAATTTTTAAAGGATTTTTGTACATTTTTGTACATATCCTTATTTAGAATAATAATTAATTCTGCGGAATAGTTTTTTTTTTAGAATTTTTAGAATATATTGTGGAAAAAGAAAAAGATTAATTTTTTTTGTATTCCAATACTGACTATGTCATATTTGGAGAGTAAAAAAAGAAATAATGTCGTACGTTAGTCTGTTATTCATTTCTCTTTTTTTTCTCATTTTTACTAAAATTATTTATCAACTATTGTAATTTTTTAAGAATTAGGCACAAAAATTAAAATACTCTATAATATATTTTTTGTTTTGAAAATTCGTATTTAACATTTGTTTGTTAATTTATAATTAATAACTTTGTATTTTTTAAAATAAGATTTTCAATAAATTTTTTATTTACTTTTTTAAATTACTTTTTTAATTAATAACTTTATTTTATTAAATAACCATTTTTAATTTATAATTACGAGTCTTTTGTAAATTTTTAAGTAATTTAAAGTTTAATAAATTGTTCTAAAATTTATCGCGCTTAAAACTTTCTGAGCATTCCATTTTCTTTTTATTTACTATATATAATTGACTTTTCTAGTTTATATTTTATCTGTCGATATTGGGAATTAAAAAATTCTTCTTTTTTCTTGAAATTTAAATGTAAACATAGTCAGAAATGGATATAAATTTGCTTAAAAAACCACTTTCTTTTATTGAGTGTGTAAAGATTGAAAATATCTAGTAAACAAAAATTGTTTCTTTTTCTACCAAAAAAAATTTTTTTTTGTCTTTTTTCTTTTTTTTCTGCTTTTTTTTCTTTGATAAATACAATTACAATTCTGGACGATAATCAAGTGCATTACATTATATTGAGGGTGCTTTGCGCACACGAAGCTCGTTTCGTAAAATACATTCTCTTCAACTATCTATAAAATTTTATGATTACAATTCTTTTTATGTTACTTTACAATTTTCACCTTGGCTTTTTTTTATGTTTTTTCATTATAACAATAATTCAATGTATTCTGTACAAATTCTACTATCTTACGAGGTTTTGTACATTCGTTAAATTTATATAATTTTTTTTTATTTTTTACTGAGCTGAATTTTATTTAAAAAAATAAAATAAATTGAGAATAATATTTTGACGACATGATTTAGAAAAAAAATTTCTTTTTTTTAATATTAAATTTTTAATAAAATTTATAATTCTTTTTAATTATTCGAAAAGTTTCTTTTGTATTTGCTGGGAATTTTGAATTTACGTCCATTAGTTTATTTCTTTTAGAGAATAGAAAATTTAATACTTTTTTAATATAAAAAAATTTGTAGTTTTTATTTCAATAGTAAACAACTAACAATTTTTTTTTAAATTATTAAATTTCACTTAATAATTTAAAAAGACAAAACTGTTAATATTTCGTAGAATAAATTAAAAATATTCAAATATTCGATGCATTATCATTGAACTTGACTTTTGTTTTTCAAATAATGTAATTTTTATTATTTTTTCTGTGAATGTTTTTGTTTGTTTCAATTTTTAAATTTATTTAGCAAATTATAAAGACCGGGTTATTATTTGAAAAATAATTAATAATCATTATTAAATGATTGCAATTTTTTCATTATAAGTGCACAAAAACTTGTGATATAATAATTTCGTCCCTTTATTATTATAACTACTTGTGATTTAATATTTATTGTATAATTTATACAAATTGATTATCAATATATTTACCATAGAAAAAATTTTTTTAAACAAGAAAAGTTTTCTATTAAAATTTTATTCGTTCTTTCTAAATTTGAATTAGCAAAAATGTTTTACTTATTTAAATTAGTGACTGGCTTTTTGCTTTTAAATTATTTTACTAATAAATTACTATTTATTAGTATAATTTACTAATTTAAAGGCAAAATATCAGTCACTGATTCAAATTAGTTAACATTTTTACTAATTGAAATTTAGAGAGTCAGAAAGACAATATATTTTTTTTAATTTAAAAGTTAATTTAAATTTAAATTTTTTATTAAAAATATAGTTTAAATATTCCTCTAAATTAAAAAGTTAATTTAGATACTTTAATTAAAAATTAAGTATTCGTTAAAAAGATAAATAGAAAAAAATTATGTCTTTTACTTTAAAAAAATTTTCTCTATTAGTAAATTGTTTCATCTATTATATTTTACATTTATTTTACAATTTTGGACAATATTTGTTTTTTATTTTGTCTTCTAATCACACTATTTTATAATTTAAACAAGTAATGCAGCCAAATAGAATGGCTATAATAGTAATGAAATTGCCGGAAGTAATTCGAATTCCAGTTGAGCTTCGTGGTATGTGACTTATGCCAGGTGATTCGCCATGCTTTCGATATTGTGTAGAATTTTTTTCGCTCCTCCATTTCATTACATACTGCGGTGCAGTTCTTCCTAAAGCTTGTAATCTGAAAAAAGAATTTATACCAGAAGAGTATTATTAAAATTTTTCCATTTAATTTTTTTATTAAAACGAACAAAAAAAGAAGAAACATTGAAAATTGGTCAAAATTATTTTAAATATAGAGTTTTTAAATTTTCAAAAAAAAAATATAAATACTATACACAGAAAAAATAGAGTAACTTTTACTATACTCTTATAGTAAAATGTAAAATTTGGTATTTTTCCGCATTTCTGAAGGTTATTTTTCTATTAATTGAGTTAGCTAATTAAACTAATTAAACTCATTTAGTAAATTATTAAGCTACTTAATTTCCATATTATTATTGTTTTGACAGGGCTCGAACTAGGTCCGTAATTGTCACTGATGGTTCGATCCCTGTTTTGATTGTACAGAAATAAGTTTAAAAAAAAGAAAAAGCTACCTGTCAAAGGAAGCTGATTAATAGTGAAAAGTTTTTGATAAACAATTATTTACAAACCAGAAAGTTTACTTGAGGGATAATTTAGTACACAGGGACTACTTGAGTTTACAATCGCATTGGTGTACATATATATATGTATATAAACAGAATGAATCGCATTTGTACTTGTGGTTGCAACTTTGCGACCAAACCGCGATTGTGAAACTGTCGTAAAACTGTCGTTAGGTTAGGAAGGGGTGTTTTCACTGCAAGAAATTAAGGCGAAGTGAAGCTTAATCGTGGACTATTGCTATAAGAAACTCACTTAACTATCGCGTTATTTACTTCCTCGGGAAGAGTAAAAGTTCTGTGACCGTCCCTCGAGCAAAAGGTGTAGAGTCTTGGTCCTTCGTTTGTACCGTCGCCTTTTTTTCTATATTCGTGTATCGTTAGGTTCCAAGCTGTGCACGGTCCTGAAACAAAAGATTTAACATTTTTTTTAAAACTTGAATTACGTTAAACTTGTTAACTTGAAACTAAATTTTAGGTTTCTTTTGATCTCAATCCATGAAGCATCAATATTTAAAGTTTTAGTCATCTTTGCCTTTTACTTCTATTTTAAAATTATGCTAATGACTTTTTTGAACTTAGACCTAAATTTTGGGTTTCCTTTTTGTTTCAAATCATAAATATTGATCAATATTTGAAGTTTTATTCGCCTTTGACTTTGACCTTCATTTTAAAATTATGCTATTGACCTAAATTTCCAAATATTGTGTTTGTTTTCTAAGCTCTTAAATTTGACATAAATTTTGTTGTTATTATAATTGCTTCTTAATTTGTGATTTTGAACTAAATTATGTTCGTCTCTTAATTCGTGAAGTTTGACATAAATTTTGAAGTTATAGTCTCTTTATCTTGACCTAAATGTTGATGTTAGCTAAGTATTTGTGGTTTCCTTTTCGTCTGTATGAATTCTGACCTCAATTTCTAGAACTTTGAGGTCTTGTTATCGAATTTGCAAATCAATTGGGTCAACGAAATAATTTTATATAATACAAGAAGATTATTATTTTTTACTTTTTATTATTATTATTTATTCATTTATTTATTTCCTAATTGTACACTTTATGCAAATTTTTATTTTCCCACAATTTTATTCTTCTTCTTCTTCTTCTTATTATTATTTGGATAATGATTAGTGGCCATGGTGTTAACAGTGTAGCGATGAGTAAATTCTCTCTAAACTTTAATTGCAAAAGGGCTATAGATTAGTTGTCAAATGATAAACTTACGACTTTGATTTGATTCAATTTCAATGGTGAGAAGACGGTTCGTAGGTGAAACCAAAGTCCACGTGCATCTTTGTTGATAGTACTGATTAAGTTTGAATTCAATGTTGATAGAATCACCAACATGAACTTCGCCCTCAGATTTCGTGGTTTCGTGATCCTTGCAAAATACATCTTCAGCAAACTTGTAAGCTGCTTTGAATGAAAGTCCAGTTGTTGAAAATCGTGACCATTCTATGGCAACTGGCGTTGAACTGCGAATGCCAACTGGCAACCAGCCCTGTAATTTAAAAAAAGTTTCCCTTAATTTCTTATTTCTTTTCATATAATTTAAAAGAAAAAGAAAAAATGAATTATATTTTTTGTTTTCTCCGCTTTTTCTCAATTTTTGACACAATATATTACTTTCGCACTTTACAAAAATTAGTTTAATTAATTACCCGCAACTAATTTGATTCAGTAAAAAGTCAGTCATTTAATCAAATTGATAATTATTGTCCCGATTTTGTTATTAAATAGAAAAATAAATAATTACCAATATTTCTATTAATTAATTAATGAAAATTATTATTCTTGTTTTTATTCAACAACAACAATAATTGATTGAAAAATTCGCGCGATATAAACATTTTTTTGGAAATTAATAATTTCTACTTACTTGATAATTTCCACAAAGGCAATGAACAACATGGCCAGTATCGGAGACGAGTAGCAAATGATCTATTGCATCCATTGTTTTATTAATTAAATTTGAACTAATTGTACAACGACATCCACTGTCGCCACATTCTGTTGAACAAGTATGATTGCGAATTTCCTTCTCTGAACTTTCCACCTTTAATGTTAAATTAATTTTATATAATTTATTTTATTATTATCATCGTCAAAAGAAATTTGAGAATTAAATGCATATAAAGGGAAAGTTAATTAAAATGTCAATTTATTCATTTTAAAATTAATTTTCTCTTTTTTATCATAGGAAATAATTTTAATTAAAACTGGAGTAAAAATTAATATTCGTCGTTTTCATGAGTTTCTTTTAAGTTAATAAATATTTCATTTTATATTTAAACTATACTTGAAATATATATTAACTATTTTAATTATTTTAAAAATAGTGAAATTTTGTTAATCATTTTAAAAATTGCTTTTTTGTGGAAATTGCTTTTTTTACCGTTATAATAACTGATTGATTGGCGGCAGGAATAAAAAGTTGTCGGCATTTAACAGGTCCGTCCTTTACAAATAATCTTTGTGGTTCCGGATGAACTACGGAACCCTGAGCTGGAGATGTTAGGCCATAATATTCGACATCGCAAACACTTTCCGGCTGTCGAGTGCCACCTTCCCTTTCTGAAAAATTTTAAAATACTTTGTTAATAATATTTCTTCTTTAATTTGACCGGGAAAACCGGGAATAAGCCAGAAATTTTTTCACCAATTTAAAAAAAGTTTTCTTATTTTAATTTGTTTTTATAAAATCACTTATTTCAATTTTCATAGATATTTATACTGTTCTCTAAATTTTAATTAGTTCAAAATAATTAATTTTATAGTAAAAAATCAGTCACTGATTCAAATATAGTTAGTAAATAAATTTATAAAAAAATATCGAATTAATAGAAATTTTGTGAAATTCAACTGAAAATAATTAAATTTGTTAAAGAATTTCATTAAAAACTTTTTAACAAATCGAATTTTCAAAGTATTTTATTTTAATAATTGATTAATAATTGAATTTTATAAAGAGTCACATTCTAATGTATTAATGTTTCTTAGTGCGAAGATTAATAATTAAAATTTTTATTAGTTAATTTAAAAAAAGATACGCACTTAAAATATTTTAATAAAATTGAATTTTCGCAAAATTTTTTTTAAAATTCTGAAAAATAAGATTTTAAAAATTTTTCAATTCTATTGTTTCAAGATAATTGAATTTTTATAAACAAATAATTGAAAATTTTTGAAATAATTGAAATTTCTTTACATTCTATTAAAAATAATTAAATTCTTTTAAAGAATTTTATTTGAATTTTTCGAAAATAATCAAGGAAAGTTAGTCACCGTAATATAATTTTATTTTTAAAAATTTCTTCATTTTCATAAATAGTAGAACTCATTTAATAGTAGAATTTCAATTATTTTTAATACAATTTTAATCAAATTCCTCGAAAAATGCAATTATTCTTAAAAATTTTATTAAAATTCGTCGAAAGAATTCAATTATTTCCATAAGTAGCAAAATTCTTCAGATTTACTAAATTCTTTTAAATATTATTTTTAAAAAAAGTTCTTCTCAAGAATCCAATTATTTTAATAAATTTCCATAACATTCTAAAAAACAATTCAATTATTTTCAAAAGTAATAAAATTCTTCGCAGAAATTCAATTATGTTCACAAATTTTTTTAAATTCTCCTCAAAATTTCAATTATCTTTATAAATAATTAAATTTTTCTCCACAATTCAATTATTATTAAAAGGAGGAGGGTCTATAAGGCCTATTTTCGGCCCACTTCAAATTTTTATTTAAAAGCTTGAAATAAATTTTCCGCCAAAGAAAAATGATAATTATGATGATTGAAGGTTAAATGAGGGTATTTGGAGAATATTAACCCCTAAATAATAAGGGTTTTCGAATAAAAAATGGGTATAAATAAGGGTAAAAAAATTTTCAATTATGAATTAATTGGCTTGAAACTCGTTACTCAGGGGTTTTTGGGGTCTCTGATTACGAATCTGGTATTAGTTTTCCAAAATTCAAAATGGCGGATCCAATATGGCGGATGACTTTTTTAAAATATGAATTAATTCGCTTGAAAATCATTACTCGGGGGTTTTTAGGGTCGCTGATTACGAATATGATGTTAATTTTGAAAAACTAACATCAGATTCGTAATCCAGGACCCAAAAACCCCCGAGTGACGATTTTCATGACAATTAATTCATTTTTTAAAAAAGTCGTACACCATTTTGAAAAACTAACATCATATTCGTAATCAGCGACCCTAAAAACCCCCGAGTAATGATTTTCAAGCGAATTAATTCATGTTTTAAAAAAGTCGTCCGCCATATTGGATCCGCCATTTTCAATTTTGAAAAACTAACACCAGATTCGTAATCAGCGACCCCAAAAACCCCTGAGTAACAAGTTTCGAGCCAATTAATTCATAATTGAAAATTTTTTTACCCTTATTTTTTACCCATTTTTTATTCGAAAACCCTTATTATTTAAGGGTTAATATTCTCCAAACACCCTCATTTAACCTTCAATCATCATAATTATCATTTTTCTTTGGCGGAAAATTTATTTCAAGCTTTTAAATAAAAATTTGAAGTGGGCAGAAAATAGGCCTTATAGACCCTCCTCCTTTTTAATAAAATTCTACGCAAACATTTAATTATTTTCATAAATAATAACATTCTTTGGATGGATTCAATTACGTAAAATTATTTGCAGAAATTCAATTGGTATACATTTTAATAAAATTGAATTAATCAAACTTCAATTACAATTTTAAACAGTCAAGATTATTTTAAAAAAATGAAAAAATTTTTTCTTTAATTCAATTATTTTCCAAATTTTTAATTAAAATTATTAGAAAAGCGAAACAAATTTTAATTAGTTAATTATTTTTTCTTTTCATTAGTAAAGTTAGTAGTTTTCAACTAATTTAGACTTAGAGAGTGAAGATTGCTTTCTGAAAAAAAAAGATTGCCTTCTGAGTGAAAATGCCATCCTTTAGGAATTTTTTTCTTTTTTTTTAAAGCTGAGACTGCGAAAACAATGGAAAAAGAAAACTTAACGGTATACTAGGTATTGACATGTTAAAATTGTTAAACCCCGAAGAATATACAATACATAAAGCCAAGTCTCTGTCTGCTTTATCTCACGCTTCGTCTAAGATCTTCTTCACAAGACGTCTTTGTTTCTTTTTCTTTTTTTACTTTCCTTCTTCTTTTTTTTTAAACCCCCATTGTGTTACTTTTACACACTTTAAATTACATTTTTTTTTAATCCCCTTTCCACGATTTGTGTTTTGCATTAGTGTCTTTTTCTTATTTCCTTCCGATTTTCTTTAATTAATTAACAGATTAGTTTAATAACAATTAAACTTAAACTCATCAGAGAAATAGAGTGAGATAGTGAAAGGGAGGAGAGGGGGAGGGGGGGGGGTGTTTAAGATTAAACTCAAAGACAAGTTTAATTAAAACTTAAATTACAATTAAACTGTTGTCATCAATTTTTTTGCTTATATACTGATGACGAGGAAAGAAAAATTTGTTTTAAATTATCTATACAGGGTGTTTTAAAATTATTCTAAACTTTTTAACACTTCAAATTGTTATTCTTTTGCAATTTTAAAAAATTATTTCAAATAAAAATAATTCGTATTAAAAAATAAAGTTTCACTATTTTTCTTATTAATATAAAACTACATAACTATTTGAAATGAGACCATTTATAGTAAAATTAATTAATTAATTAAAATTAATTAAATTTAGCAAAATTTAAAAATTATTTTACTTTTATTTACTTAAAATAATTTTATTTGTTGCAATTATTTTTGTTTTAAAAGATAAAAGGATTCTTTGTTCGAAAAGGTAGTATTATAATTATAAATAGTAAAATTCTTTGCAAAAATTCAATTATTTCATGAAAGAATTCCATTATTTTAAAAATTTTTAATAATATTTTTCAAAAAAAATCAATTATTTTCTAAAATTTTAATAAATCCTTTGAAACAATTTAATTATATTCATAAATAGTAAAATTTTTTGCAAAAATTCAATTATATTCAAAACAATTTCACGAAAGAATTCAATTTTTGTTCTTAATTCGTTATAAAAAATTTCAAAAGAATTCAATTATTTTCAAAAAAATTTAATTTTTTTCGTTATAAAATTTTTCAAAAGAATTTTCAAAAATTTTAATAAAATTCAATAATTAAATGTTTAATTTCAATTATTATTAACAACACAATTATTTTAAAAACTCGAAAGAAATTGTTCATAAAATTCAATTATTTTTAAGATTTTTAATTAAAACTTTTAAAGAAACTCCATTATTTAAAAAAAAATTCAAAGATATTCTTCAAAATGAGTTTAATTAGAATTATAAAAAATTTTAACATATTTCTTCATGAGAATTCAATTATTTTACTAAATAATAAAAATTTGTTGAAGTAATTCTATTATTATCAAATTTTTTGATAACGTTTTTTGCAACAATTCCATGATTTTTAATAAATTAATTTTAAAAATGAAAATGATTTAAAACGAAAAATTATTATTTAATAAGTTAGGAAACAAAAAAGCAAACAGCAACTAACTTCAAACTGCGAACAGATTACCGGAATAGATTGATTATATAGATTTACTAATTCAAATTTAGAGAGTTGTAAACAATATTAATACTTGTTGATATAAAATAACACTTGTTTATAAATACAATTAGTACCTTTTGTATTAATTAACTAAATCAGTATAGAAATCATAACTTTGTAAATTTCGAAAAGAGTTTTTAGCACCGAATATTTAGTGTAATAATTTTGCACGTTCGTTAGGACTTGAATCCAGAAATAGAGTGATTATGTTGACTCAGTAAAGTGTGAGGGTGTGGAAAATGTAATATGTGTGTTCATATATGAAAGTGTAATCACACAATGGTCATTTATCGACACTGCGACCTAATTTTACTCGCACGTTTAAAAGACAACCTTTTTTTTTAATTCTCACTTTTTCAAATACTCGTTTTGATTGGAATATCTCCAGATAAAAAAACACACATATTTGACTTTCTTCTATGTATCTTTTCCCCTGTGGATAAATATTTTTCCAATTCAATGGTGTTCAATACGATTGATTATATATTTAATTAATTCGAATTTTAAATTGAAATCTGCAAAATTATTGCTTTCTAAAGTTATTGTGTTTATTCTTGAAATCTAATTTCACTTAAGGTTTTGTATTATAATTCTTGTCAATTTCATAGTTTATGAGGCAAACAAAAAAGACTCAAAAATTCATAATTTTCTTATAAATTCTAAAAATTTAATTTTTTCCAGTACTTTTAATAAAAATCCCTGACTTTTCCCTGACCAATTATAATTTCCCTGACTTCCCTGACCTGTGGCAACCCTGTACTAATTTTATGAAATGTTTAATTTTTTTTGAAATTTCAAACAAATATGAAACTTTGATTGGTAATAATTATTGAGTAAATTATATTGTAAATTTATGGACGATTCGTGTTGAACTGAAAGCTAATCATTGTCAACTTTAGGTGTATATATATCTAGTGGACTGTTTCTAGTGTCTCTATGTAAGCAATTGCGGCTTACACTTTGACAACAATATGTCGATACGTCTCGGCATTAATTAGTAACAGGTAATTGGTAGCATTCTGTTAAATGGGTCGCACACTAGCAAAGAGCAGAGCTTAAGTGGAAACATAGGATTAACAATCATCATGAAATTACAACAGGTAATCTGGAACTGGGTTCACCTTTATGGCTTGTTTAAATTATCACGAGAACTTGACGACAATGTCTGTGTGCGTTTCTGTATGTGTGCGTGTGTGTTTGAATGTGTCAATTATAATCCGGAATTCTTATTTGAAAATCATCTAAATTTATAAAAAGTATATTTAGATTTCGAATTTTAGAAAAAATTACCATTTTTTTAATTTTAAATTATTTTTTCATTCTAAATAAATTTTTCTTAATTATTTTTTTTTATTTTGCATTTTAAAAATTTTAAGAGTACATTTTTAAAAATCTATATTAATAATCAGTGTATTCCGGTAATTTGTTCGTACTTTGAAGTTAGTTGTTGTTTGCTTTTTTGCTTCCTAACATTTTTAATAATTTTTTTTCAATAATTTCCATTTTTAAAAATCTATATTAATAATCAGTGTATTCCGGTAATTTGTTCGTACTTTGAAGTTAGTTGTTGTTTGCTTTTTTGTTTCCTAACTTTTCTAATAATTTTTTTTCAATAATTTCCATTTTTGAAATTAATTTATTGAAAATCATTAAATTGTTGCAAAATACTTTATCAAAAAATTTGATAATAATAGAATTCCTTCGAAGAATTTTATTATTTAGTAAAATAAATGAATTCTCGAGAAGACTACTAAATTTTTATTTTGTCAATGTAATTGCTTTATTAAAATGATGGGAACATTTAAAGTCAATTTAAAAATGAAATTTAATTGTAGTTTTTAATTACATACATGAAGAGTTTTATTTTAAAAAAAATTCGTTTTTATAACAAAACTTTTCATGTTAATTAAATTAAATTTTTTCTAAATTTCATAATTATTGCAGGAGGTGAAATGCATTTATGGGTTAAATATATACATGAGAAATTTTAATTAAGTGAATATTGTTTACTACAACTAAATGTATTGTAAACATTTTAGTTAGAGGAAAGTTTATTTTCATTTTAGTAAATTAAATTAATTAGTTAATTACCAATTTAAGTTAATATACTCGAGAATCATTTTGAATGGTAAATTTATGATACATATTGTGCTGATGAAAACGTTGGCATAAAAATTAAAAAAAAAATTAATAAAGAAAAAAAAGAAGTTGAAAACATGCGACAAAGTTTCGAAAATTATTCAACTATTGCTTACCATCGTGGAAATAAAATGAAACATCCATGTATTCTTCATCGTTAGGACTGTCTGTGGCTCGTTTCAAAATTACTGTCATATCGCGAGCAGATGACGAGTATCTTTCTGTTTCGATGTAACTGTAACAGAAAAATGTTATCAATTTTAATACTGTTGACAATTTTTTTATAAAATTCTTTGGAAACAGTCAATTATTTCCTTAAATAGTAAAATTTTTATAGGAATTAAATTATTTAAAGTACAATTTTCATAAAATTCTTTGAAAAAAATCAATTAACTAAAAAGATTTTTATAAAATTCTTCGCAAGAATTCAATTATTTAAAAAAAATTTAATAAAGATCTTGGCGAAAATTCAGTTATTTTTATAAATAATAAAATTCTTCTCAGGAATTCAATTATTTTTAAAAATTTTAATAAAATTCGTTGCAAAAATGCAATTATTCTTAAAAATGTTATTAAAATTTTTCAAATAATTCAATTATTTTTAAAAAATTTATATAATTTGTTTATTAGAATTTAATAATTATTTGCAATACATTTTTAATTAAATTTTCTTGAAAGAATTTAATTATTTTCGAAAAGTGTTATAAAATTCTTTGTAATAATTCAATTATTTTTAAAATTTACTATAGTAAAAAAATTTTTCAAAAGAATTCAATTCTTTAAAAAAAATGTTAATAAAATTCGTCGCAAGAATTCAATTGGTTTCTTAAGTTATAAAATTCAATTATTATTATTATTATTTTTTAAAATTGTGATTCTTTCGAAAAATTCAATTATTTTCTTGTTTTTTTTTATCTATTATTTTCATAAAAAATAAAATTTTCACCCGAATTTATTTATTTAATTTAATTTATTTTGAATTTCATTTTTAATACAATTTTCAATAAATTCTGCGAGAAATTCATTTATTCTTGAAAATTCTTCAAAAGAATTTTAATATTATTAAAGAACAATTAGATATAATTTGTTTATTAGAATTTAATTTTAAGAAATATTTAATTATTCAATAAATTATTTATTTTTGTATTTAAATAATTGAATTCTTGTAGAATTTTGTAATAAAAATTGATTGAAAAATGAATTTTTGTTAAAATTTTAGATTATAATTGAATATTAAAAGGGATATACCTATGGTATGAATTTTTAGAAGTAATTTAAAAGATTTTTAAATTGAAGTTTAAAAATTCTATTTGTTGAAAAACTATAATAATATTTACATTTCTATTTTAACATAAAATGATTATTATAGTTTTGAATAATTTCATTTAAAAATTTCAACAACTAAAATTATTGAATTTTGGGAGAAATAGTAATTTTTAGAAATAGTTAAATTTCAAAAATATCAAATTAAAAGCTTTTTGAAATTAAACAACTTGTAAAAGTATTTCTTGTAAAACAAGAAGATATTGATTGCTCCGAGTCGAAGACTCGGAGTGATCGATTTCTTCATGTTTTATAATAATTATAGTTATTGACAAAGTAATAAAATCATTATTTTATATTATAAAAATATTATTACTGTAATTTCGTCAAAATTATATTAATAGGTAGATATTGAAAATCATTGAAATGAAAAAATTGTTTGAAAATAATATTGAAATTAGGACATGATTTTTATTTATATTTTTGAAAATAATTTAACTTTGGGGAAGAATTTTGTTATTTATAAAGATAATTGGGATTTTGACGAGAATTTTTTTTAAATTTGGAATATAATTGAATTTTATGAGAAGAATTTTATTACTTTTGAAAATAATGGAATGTTATGAGAAGAATTTTATTACTTTTGAAAATAATGAAATTTCCGTAATTATTTGTAATTTCTCCAAAATTTAATTTTTTTTTAGTGTTTGCAATAAAAATTTGAAATAAAAATTTTTAAATTCTATTATTTTTAAAACTGCTACTTTTTTTAAAAAAAAGTAAGCAAGAAGTTAGCCGCGCGCTTTTGCGGGCGAATTGTTGCTGGTTTATTAATAGTTGCCTGATATTAATTAATATTAATAATTATTATTAACAACATTAATTTGAATTTTAAAAAATTTTTATTAATAATTTTATTATTATTTTATTTTAATTTAAATTAGCATTCAATTTAAATTCATATTTCCTATACAATTAATTCGATATCTCCATGCAAAATAACTCTCTTTCAGATTGGTTGTCTAAAAAAACCATTGTTCAGTTGCTTCTCTAAAACCATCGAACTGTGTAATCAGACACTATTGATAAAGCATAACTGATTATTATTTAATTGCAAATGTTATATATATATATTTTTTAAATGAAAATTTTTAAATGTAGTGAGGTTATAAAAAATAGGGTTCGTTTGTTTTAAATGAGCAATTTTTTTATAGACGTCCAACGTGAAAGAGGGTTTCTTCTTTCGCCTGAAGGTATCGAATTAAATTTTAATTAAACTGTTTCGGTTCTTTAATTAAAATTATATCAGTAGATATTGATAATATTGCAAAAATATGAAAATCATCTTTCAATATAACTAAATTCCTTTATTAACACGAACGATCTTTGTAAAAATTCCTTGAGAATTTAAGAATTTTCGAAGATGTGACTTTATTTCGAGAACAATTGAATTGTTCCATATTCATACATCAGGCGAATGGAGGTATTGATTCTTGAAAATATTCCTGTCTCCTCCACACTTTCCTTGAATATACATATTTTATATATGCGATGAGAGAATCAAGAGAGAAAGAGAGATCAACTATTCCGTGTGAGTTATACAATTTAGTTATGTAGTTGACATGAACAATAGGCTGTACCACATCAAAGGCTTTGTTACATTCAACTAGATTATAAACGTTTAACTTTGCTAGATTCCAGCTAGATTCAGAATATGTGTATATATATACAGATATATATGCGTCATATACCATAAATGTGTCATGAAAATTTAATCATTGACTTTTCAGTATGATTGAATTTTCGTACAATGCTTTTGATCTTAAGAGAAGAAGATTAATAGGCAATATAAATTCAGCTTATTCGAAGAGTATTAAAGTATTATCTTGTTATATGAAGATAATTTTTCCCTTGTTTTGTACGAATGAATTTTTTTCTCAGTTTTTTTAAGGATGTCAAATTGAGACAAAAAACGAATCAAAATATTGCTTCGCAACACTTTTGATTCGTTTTTTTGTCTCAATTTAATATCCTTACAGGCTTTGCACTCATCTACTAAAACCTACTATTTACTACTTTTTTTACGTTATTATGCTACTATTTGGGTACTTTTTTTAGATTTCAGCCACTAAAAGCTAATATTTCTGTTTTTTTTAAAGAATTTCCACTACTTTAAATTCGCTAATACTAGAAATAAAAAAACTATTCTCAAAAATTATACTCAAATTCTTTAAAAAGATTTAATTATTTTCAAAAAATATTCGAATCTCAATTACTTTCAATATCTACTAATTTTCATGAAATTTCGCAAAAGAATTTAATAATTAAAAAAAATTTGATAAAATTCATCCAAAAATCAATTACTTTCATAAATTATAAAATTCTTTGAAGAATTTTAATGATTTTTAATTATATTTTAAATTAATTAATCGAAAAATTCAATTATTTTAACAAATAAAGTTTTCCACAAGAATTCAATTATTTAAAATGAAATTTTCAAAATATTTATTATATTTCGAAAAAATCAATTATTTGAAAAAATTTTTATAAAATTCTTATGAAGAATTCAATTATTTGAAAAAATAACAAAACATTTTTCACAGAAATTCAATTCTTTATAAACATTTTAATAAAATTTTTCTGAATAATTCAATTATTTTCATAAATAATCAAATTCTTTTTTCAGGAATTCAATTATTTTTAAAAATAATAATAATTTTTTACAAGGGATTCAATTATTTTCATAAATAATAAAATTCATCAACAGGATTTAAATTATTTTTAATACAATTTGACAGAAATTGCTCAAAAAATGTAATTATTTTAAAAAATCAGATTTCAATTGCTCGAAAAAATCAATTATTTAAAAAAAATGTTTTTTTTAAATTCTTTGGAAGAATTCAATTATTTACAAAAATATTAGGATTTTTCACAGGAATTCAATTATTTAAAAAAATATTAGATTTTTCACAGGAATTCAATTATTTTCAAATATTTTTAAAAAATTGTTCGAAAGAAATCAATTGTTTTAAAATACAATTTTAATTACATTATTTTGAAATAATTCAATTACCTATTCTTTTTGAATCAAATAAAATTCTTCTCAAGAATTTAATTACTTTCATAAATAATTTTTCGAAAGAATTGAATTATGTCGATAAATAATTATTAAAATAATTATTCCCGAAAATTCAATTGTTTTCATAAATAACAATATTCAGTACACATATTGAATTTTTTTTAAAAGTAAAAAATTTCTTCTTGAAAATTCAATTATTTTTAAAAATTCTAATAAAATCGTTCTCAAGAATTCAATTATTTTCATAAATAATAAAATGCTTTTTAGGAATTCAATTATTTTCAAAAAAAATCAATAAAATACCACAAGACATTCAAGTTTTGCAAAAATTTTAATAGAATTCTTTGTAAAATTTAATTATTTTTAAAAACTTTTCCCAATTCAATAATTTTCAATATCTACTATTTTCATAAAATTTCCAAATAGAAATCAATTATTTCAAAATTTTTTTGTAAAAATCTTTGTAAGAATTCAATTTTTTCATGAATAATAAAAATTTCTCAGGAATTCAATTATTTAAATTAGAATTTGCATAAGATTAGTCGAAAGAAATGAATTATTATTTAAAAATTTTTATAAAATTCTTCGCAAGAATTAAATTATTTTTATAAATATTTAAATTCTTTCATGAATTATAAAATTCGTTGCAGGAATTCAATATTTAATATCAGGATAAAAAAGAAGTAAATATTTTTGATGAAAATTAGGAAAAAGTATAGAATGGAATTTTTATTAGTTTTGTGAAGTGTCTAAAATGAGTTTTTTTGGTCGTCAAGTTTAATTTTTCGATAGCTACTTTTTTACTACTTTTTTCTAGTTTAAAAACTACTTTTTGATACTTTTTTAAAATTAAATATCGAGTGCGAAGTCTGCCTTAGAAAAATTTCTTTGTT